AAAAAACAGTGAACCAGCATTCTTGAACACGTTTTCATCAACAAAAACCACAGTAACAAAGTTTCTGAAAAAACTGTTCATCAACGAAAGCCCACTGGTTGGGAGTTGCTCAGTGGAAAAACTGACGCATTAAAATCCCATTAAACTCCCTACTTTTGATAGCCAAATCACGCAATCAAAAAAACTGTTCATCTTCAGAAACGTCCTTCAACCCACCTTCGCCTCTCTCCATACCCAGCGGCTTCCCAGCACCGTCAGCGACAGCAGCGTGACCAGGCGAAGCGACGAAGGTTGCCAGCAAGGGAAGCTGCTCCAGCGCAGCTCCATGAGGAAATCTGCATGTTTATTGCAAAGACTATGAAAAAAAAAACACGTTTTTTGATGGGAGAATCAACAAATTAGGGTCTATTCCAAAAAAACCATCTATAGGTCCAATAGTTCCCTTTGCATTTTTTCCCGCGGATTCTAATATATATATATATATAAATCAACTTGAATCTTTCTGGTGTTTCTTAATGGGAGCTTCCAACTTGCGTTTGGGGAAAACCCATCCAAAACCATGGCTCTAATCCAATTTCTTCACCCAGAAATTCATCAAACCTCTAAACGGGGTCTCACGTGTCCCACGTGTCCCACGTGGTTTAATGGGCAATTCATCTATACCCTCTGGTGAACATACAAAAAGCAATGGAAAATGGCTATTTATAGTGGATTTTCCCAGCTACAGAATGGTGATTTTCCATTGCTATGTTAGTTCACCAGAGGGTAATTGGATATGAATGTGGAGCAAAGCTTTATGAAATCCCAACAAATGTTCGGGAAGCTGAGCATTGGGAATTTCACCGATTGGGAGGCTTTCATGAGATACAACCAAATAGGGAAAACAACCAGCATATATTTGACAAATGGCAGAATGGCATGGGACATATCCATTGTGATTGTCATCTTGACTAACACACAAGCAAAATTCCAAGGATATGGAGCTAGCAATTGATCAAACAAACCTATAGATGAAGAGTTTGAAACTTCGGCACGTTAAAGCACCATATTGTTGACCGTGGCACAGACATCCCTCCTCAAACTTGTGCTTTGGACTAATGAAACCTACAATCCCTGCATCATAGCAGCAGCAAATATCTACAAAAGCTTGATCTTTGGCCGAATATCAAGCACGCCAGAAATTCGTCCATTTGTCGAACATTCACCAAGATCCAGATTTGAACTGTGTTTCCCATACAACACATACACAAAAAAAAAAACATGGTGATGTCTACCGCAAGTGAATGATTTTGTCCAGAACTTTCCAACTGTTGAGGGTACCCAAACCCATCATGTGACGCAAATCCGTCGAAAGACACCTGCGAAAAGATTGGATCTTTGTTCCTTTAAGTGGTCAACCATGGGTGAGAATCAACATTTCAATGAATTTAAACCATATTACAAACATATATATATATGTATGTATGTATGTATATATATATATATAATACAGCAAGCCAAAAAGAGATAGAAACGATTAGAAAAGTATAGAACAGTAAGGACAAGCACTAGTTGAGTGGGATCTTACAAAGTTCATCCAGGCTGCGTGAGAATTTGGTGCCTCAAGGTGCTTCAAGCACGACATTCAAATAATAGGACTACACCTTATATACATATACATATTATAGTATGCTTAGACATAAACATAGCCTCCATAATGTTCAAATTCATACACATTGAAAAAAAAACAGCACATATAGACATTGAGGTTTTCATATATGTATAGTATCTCAGTGCAAATATACATCTTTTGAAAAAGTCATCCGATTTCATCCGATTTCATAGGTCGTTTTTTTTTTTTAAACAAATTTTTAGCGCCAATTTTCGCATTCTCCGGGGATGTGGATCCATGGCATGACGAAGGATCGGTTTCAAGCTTGCCATTAGCCTGACATTAGCACAATTAATTCTAGTGGGTACTAATGATATATATATATATGATAATGTTGTTTTCTCGTCTTGACCGCAACAACAAAAAACGTCTGCGACAGTGTCGCGGGAAGGACGTTCCACCATTTCGGGTGCTTGAAACCACCATTTCGGGATGGATTTTCGGTCCCCGACACCTTGGGTGTTTTGGGACGGTCCCTCGAAACGGCTGGGTCAGTTTAGAGAACATCTACAGGAAAACATCAGAAAACGGATGTCTTTGTCAGGATGTTTACTAATATATATATATATTACATATTTAGTTACTATCATTTTCGTGTTCGGGTTACGACTAAAGATGGCAAAATTTGGCAATATCATCGCAAAAATGATCACGGATTATCATAGATTTTAACCGCCCATGCTAGAACTTGTCAAACAGTGGAGTAAACAAGACAATACCAACCGCCCAAAAGTATCGAACAGTAATTTCCTACTAAATAGCAACCAACTCGTTCTCTGTTTGTTTCTTTTTTTGCGGGGGGTTATAAGAAGTCACCAAAGATGTCGCAAGCACACGGCTGGACGATGTGAAGACAGCCTTTAACCAAGACATATGAGGATCTATTGAGGATAGAATAAGGATATCACGAACATTCACGAACCATCTATGTACACCCTCTAGCAATATATGACTTACCGGAGGTATGATTTTTGGGTCTATCCAGATACCTGGCGTATCAATTTAAATCGTATGGGTAAGGGGTCAATACCAACCAGATTACAGTATATAATATCTCCATTAGTAAATTCCATATAACATCATATAACTATATGGGCTAATATTAATATGGGATTAAGCCAGCCAATCATTAATTGATATACTATATGATACTATATGCAGTAACATCCGTATTCACCGCATGAAAAAATGACCCAGAGCCTTTTTATTCAAATCTCAGGCATCTCACGATGAAGGAATGCGGGATGTAGCACCTTGATGTTTAGGAGTCAAAGTCATTGGTTACCAACGGAACCAAACTCTACTAGTCATTGTATGTCATGCTTATGTCATTTGTAAAGTATGAAAAACCGTTTAACTCTTTAAGCATCCGGTCATTTTTGGGCTGATTCAATGGTTAAATGTTTCGAAAACACCAAGAGTATCCAAGAGTCAAGAATCCCATAAAAAGACCCCAGTATTCCCTGTTTGGAAAACTCAACTACTTGATGAAGACTCATCTCTGGCTCGTTGAATTCCAAGTTGTTCCATTGTAGAATTGTCGAGGCCATGCTCAAACTCTTCTGATCATGTGCAAGCAACTGCCCCTTCATCATAGAAAAATCCGCAGCTTTCAACTTTCAAATCTGTTTGGGTTCTCAAGTTTCAAGAAACATAATCCCCATGCAAAAATCTCATTCTGGCTATTCGGACATATTGAGATGGTTCTCAATATGAACCATTGTTGATCCAAATCATGCAGTCAACAGTTCAGGTTGATTTACAGCACACGAGGCATAATCAAACTATAACCCTACCATTCAGTTTCCCGCTTATCTCTACTGGAACAAACAAGTCAATTACCATCAAAGATTTCCATAGATCATTTTCACGGCAAGTTCCAGCCGATGATTAGCTGATGTTTTGTCATGTTTTTGGAGCTATTGATGCTGATTTCCAAACTTCAATACACTCCAAACACTTTCTTTTCTGGACATGGACAAATCTTCCTCATTCATAATTCCGAAAAAAATACTACCCTCTGGTAAACTAACATAGCTATTGAACATGGAACATTTATAGTGGATTTACCCATTAACAACATTGTGATTTTCCATAGTTAGGTTATTTTACCAGAGGGTATACCAGCTCCTTTAGCACTCTACCAGCGTCCCTTGTGAAATGAACACGTCGAAATGCGTCACGGAGGCCCACAATTTGTAGTGATGTTGGCCCGTTAGATCGAACATATATACCCAGAGATCATGGGATCAGCCATACATGCCATCATATATGTCCTCAATAAACATAGATTTCCAATCTATATAATTTGAGCAGTGCTTGATATTCCTCAATATATTGCTTAGTATAGTCCCGATCATAATCATCAACCAATCGGGGTCTTGAACATGATACGATGATTGGTTGATTAAATATCCCATAAAATCTAATAATTCCATTAAATCATTTTTTCTATGGACAGTAACATAGTCTATCAAGCCAAATTATCCCAATTACAATAATTCACCAACCTGAAAACTGAAAATCGTTGAAAAAAGAGGCCACTCGTCTTCGCACTCGGCGCGTCCCCGGCGATGCAAGGACGCACCGTCAGTTGCCATTCTATCCCATGAAACACCACCATTTTGGTGGGTTGAAACCCTGGATTTCCTTAAGGAAACCCCCAACAATTACATTTGTCGAAAAACAACAACTCCCCAAGTAGTGGAATCCCCATGACAATGTTATCCCCATCTCTCTCGGTAAAATCAACATTTTGGTGTCTACAAAGTCCCAAATACAACCATTATGCTTAGTATTTATCCAAAATTATAACAGTTCAATTTATAGCCTGGTTGGTGGTTTGAACCCCTCTGAAAAATATTAGTCAGTTGGAGTTCCTATTCCCAATATATGGAACAATAAAAAATGTTCCAAACCACCAAACAGTGTTTGTTGGTTTATAAACCATTATAATCCCCATTAACTATAGTTACATCTACCATAAACCATAGTTAATCCACATTTGGTATATTATTTCACCAAAGTCCATAATTGGTCACCTAATCATCGAATCATCTCCCAAGATATCCTCTGGTAAACCAACGCCACACGGTTTTATCAACATTTTTAAGTTCGGTAAATCAACGAACTAAATGGGCCATTTTCCAGTTCGCCATGTAAGAAATTGCCAGAGAGTCTATCCATTCATATACCATAAGTATATAAATATGCAATTTTGACGCCATTTTTATATATTTTTATCATCATATTCACTGGTGATGTGAAAATATCAATGATTATCCCAATATCCCATTGGTGAAATTGCTGACGCTGGTGAAATCGCCCCATGTTTCAGGCCCCAGACGCTTCAAATGCTGCAGACAGGTTGGCCTTGGCCCGATGCTCGGTGGAAAACGCCAGGTAGAAAGAGGGGAATTCAACGGGAATTCACCAAACATCATTGATTTGGATAACAAAAAAACATGGGTTTTGTCATCAACTGGAATTAATATAGTCGGATAATTTAATTTTCGAATATTTTTGATATAATTATATAATTGGAATTAATTGACGATATGATATAATCAAATATAATCAAATTATATAATGAGATACTAACCACTGTGGGGTATGATAGAGTATAGTGGGATATATTAACAATTTAATATGGAGATGGATGAAGAATTGTGATTTCATTGGTGATACATGAGGGTACGGGTATAACTGCCAATAATGGATTCAATCGGGTTATAGCAACCCCAAAAAAACTAGAAAAAAACTTGCAAACAAAATCCTACTAACAACCATTTTTTCAATGCGTGCTCTTCATCTGTTTGGGGAGGGTGTCACTACAAGACAGTCACATTTTCAGCAAGCACATGTAAAACCATTTTCGTCACTATCCTGTGTTTTTGGTAGACAATATTCACCCATGGCTATGGGAAGATCACGGGCAATAGCAACTGTTCAACTCTGGCTATCCCAGAAATGTGCACTGTTTCATCAGTTTCATCCTGCCCCATAGCTTAAAAACTGTGAGATGGTCCGGTTCCCATCCACCAACATGTTAGAAATAACTCATCACCTGCAGGTTCCCACAAAAAATCGTGGACCCAAAGTTATCAAGCTTTGTAAGCTGGGATACCCATGTGATCCTTCAACTTCCTTACAGACGTTTCGCTTGTTGTCCAGGTACGCAGTTGGCTCCGTCGTTTTCGTGGAAGCAAAGCTTTCCGACTCATCCTGCAGGGAAAAACGGAGGATGAAACGATCGTAGGCTTCCGTAGGCTTTTGCAAACTTCGTTGAACTTGCACATGGCGAATCAAAATGTACAGAATCATACCATATGGTAAAATATGGTAAAAGTATGTAAAAGTTCGTCTATATTATATTACAGTATATGATTGTGTCGGTTAAATATACTTACGAGAGAGAGAGAGAGAGAGTGGTGTGTGAACTCCAAAAGTTTTTTGACATCTCAGCCAAGTGGGATTCGCACTTCCAGTAGGATGGAAAATGAAGATTATCCCAAACACAAACCCCGGCAGAACCTAACGTTCGCCCATGATGACATCATATATCTCATTTTTCCCAGGGTTTTACCACATGTTTCATCCACGGTTCTAAGCGCCTTGCAGGGATGGACGTACACTAGTTGTGGCCCCTCGCCATGTGTACGACACAAAATTTGCTCCATGGCTCGTTTCACAACAATTTGCGGCAGTAACCCTTCGCAGACTTTGTGGGGGTCCGTGGCAAAGAAGGGCCGTTTCGTGCGAGAAAACACGGGCTCCGGGCAAACGTCCGGTTCTGTGCGCACAAACCAATTGCAAATCTTAAATCATACCCTAGGGTAAACCAACAGAGATGTGGCAATCACACCATTTCTAGATTATTCCGAACTGGAAACCGTAGGTTTCCCACATCCGCGTTAGTTTACCATAGGGGTCATGTAATAAATTAGCCATAAACGGCGTCATCAATCAGGCACAGCAGCACTGCAGGGGAAATCCAATCCAAACGATATCTGTTTCTAGGTGTGTCCTGCAAATTTTGTTAAGCGAATATTGGGAATTACATCTGACATACCCAAATATAGCCATCATCTATATGTGCCAAGGTCAAAAGTCTTTTGTTTGTTTTGTTTGGTTTATGGACATTTATTTCATGTCATGGAAATCCAAACATACTGGGTAACATGATATAACTGTAGCTACAGAAATCCAAATTTCATGACCGTCTCACCATCTCCCTTTACTCACGATTGTGACGATCCGAGCTAGGCGAGTTCGCCCCGATTCTGATGATGAAATCCACATTTCCCATGTTCCTCTTGGCTATGTCAGCATTGTTGCTTAATACATTGACATTGCCTGGAAATATGTGGTTTATACCATCATTTTCCCTTTGAGCAAAGCCATGAATTGGAGGAAATCCACCATGTTCAGTCGGGCCCCAATTAATGCCATATTAAGTTGCTTATTTGGCTATGAGTCTAAACCCGGTACCCTGGTGAGCAGCAAAATAGCTTGTATGTTCGTCCACCCGAATATGTTTCATGAGTTTTGACTATTGTTGACTCGATCCATCCCCATATCAATGGATTGGTTTAAGAGAAAATCTACAGGAAACCATAGATTTTCCCATTAAATGTGGGGCTTTCCTGTAAATTTTCCCTTAAACCAATTCATTGACCATATTATCCTTGCTCCGTATCCCAAATACATCACTTTTGTGCATTTTCCCTATTTTTACCAGGATGTCCACCAGATGATGTTTCCTGCAGACACTGGCAGATTTCCAACTGTTGTACCCTCTGGTCATTAAACATATATGGAAAATTGCCATTTGGTTCGATGATAAACATTATGATTTACTGAACTTATAAATGGTGACTCTCATTGATTGATCGATTGATTAGTTGATTGACTGATTGATTGATCAGTGAACATTGATCTTATTTTATCTCGATCACTAGTCTCAGAGCCTAACTGTGAATCAAAATCAATCTGTCATTTCACGTCCGTGGGTGTCAGTTTGAATCTCTACAGTCCGGAGTGTGGAGTCTGATGAGTCTGGACTTTGTCATTGGCACAGGCTACTTCGCTATGTCACGTCTTCAGTCAGCTGCAGTGATGCTTCACGTTTCACGCATGTCAATTGTCAGTCAAGTCGCCGAGCCAATTAGAATTAGCTGTCAATTCAATGCTGATTCCGTCAAGGCCAAGGCGGCCAAGGCGGCCAAGGCGGCCTTTTGCGGCCAAGGTAATGTCCGTGACCGGAGGCCCACCATGGGCGGCACCATTTTTCGGAACCAGCGATGGCCCATGGCTCTTACACCAACAAGGCCAACAAGGACCACGTGACCATCTGTTCCTTTGTGAAATTACCAGAAGGTTTCTTTGGGGAAATGAGTTACAAAATACATCTGCTTTCCATCGGTTACATTCAGATACCATTGTTCAGGGTAAAAAATCACCAGACGGTAACTGATGGAAACTGAACAATGGTAACTGAACACTGAACATCGTTAATTCACCAGATGTTTCCAGCTTCCCCAAGTTACAGTAACTGTCCTGTCCAACTGAGCACGGACTTCCATCAAACTGGTGGCCATCGATTTCATCGCCTGTAGCTCCCCAAGGTGGGAAAAACGATAGCTGAGCTGCAAATCACTGGGTGAATTCTATATATTCTATGGTTTACGCATGTTTATGATAGATATTCTATATATTCTATGGAATTTCTATGGTTTATGAATGTTTATGATAGATATAAACTGGTTGTAACTAGTTGATGACGTCAAACTAAACTAAACCAACAAAAACTATCAAAGCTATGGGCACCACCTTTTAGCATCTGCAAAACAATCATTTGGAGGTATAGTATAACATGATATAACATGTACATACAAAAACGGTTCACCAACCAAATCTGGGATGGGACCGGTGTGGAATGGGATATCATAGAAAATCATTGGATATATCTTCGAGGAAGGGCCGCCAGGTAGAAAGTTGGCTTCTACACACATAGAATGTGTGTGTATATATATATATAATCTCTCTCTCTCTCTATATATATATGTATATATATATATCAACAAATCCTTGGCTAAGGCCTAGTCAAGAACAAACTGACTGTGCTTGGCTAAGGGGTCCCTTCCCTATCCTATGGTCAAGGTGGTTCTTTCATCCATTAAGAAACGGGTGATCCAAAATTACCAACCAACCAGTGGAGGGAATACCTGTCTGTTAATCACACCAACAATACTCCACTTGTTCTCCCTACAATTGACAGGATGAATTTAATGATACGGTTTCAATCGTCAATTTATCAATATGAAACCCTTAAAAAACGAAGTCGTTTCACCCCGAAAGTCCTCCAAATGTAGATGTTTCCAGCCATTATTTTACAACGTCTGGAAGTTTCGCCTGCCGTGTGATCTTGTTCTCGAAACTCATCTTGGCCAACTGCAAACTCTTTGCAGGACCATGGAGCTGCAAGCAGCCTCCGACGGAGCATCTGATTTTGGGGATGCGATGGCTTTGTAAAAACATGATTATGGTTATGAGGTATAAGATGTTATAAATGTCATCAGTGCCAATCTGAGATACCCTGCAAAAAAAACGAAATTCTTAGCTGGTTTGTAGATATTGACATTGATACCAAAAGACTAAAGGATTAAAGTACCCATCAAGATCGATCTAGCTATAAGTTATATCTTATATAATGTTACAGGTTACACATTATTTCTACCGGGGAGAAAAAAAGGACATTTTTCAATGGAAACAGCTCAGTGTGTGTCGTATACAATTGGGTACACCCTCATTTTATATAAGGCTATCATTTTTCTGGGGTATTGATGATGAACCATTGGATGGAATAGGTCACAATATTTTTAAAAGAACTCATGACCACTCATGATTGTGAATCTTGTAACAAACACATTCGAAAGCAGGGTTGCAACCACATATAATGACCAGCTTTTGTCTAATATCCTTGCACTTGTTGAAATCTTTATTTTTGGTTGATCACTATCGCTATCCATGCTTCTGTTGATTTGTGGTAAATACATTTTCAATATTTTTCAATCATTTTCATACCCTTGTTCTTCCGTGCGGGGTAGCTCAGTTCCCAAATAGCTCTTGGTACCCAAGAGTTTGCATCAAAATAGCTTCTGGCTAGACGTTTCATAACCTATTTGTGCGTTTTTTTGCCTGAAAGAGGGTGCCCATTTGAAAATCCAGCGGTTTCTCAAATGATCACAATATTTCCTCACAGTAGTCAGCAAGTTTATGGTAAGGAGAGTCTACAGGAAACCTTTGTTTTTCCATGCTTAAAAACAACAAAAATTATCGGAGTTTCCTCGATTATTTTTCCCATCATCCAGTTCGACCCAGATATTTCCCAATGCAATGAATATCTCAGAGTTCCCATTACAATTAGTTGCGATATAATTAATATGGGAAATACATCTAGTATTTGCAATCTAGTGGGAATAGACATATCTCTAATATTCGCAGTGAAATGGAACAATCTAATCATCATATCCATTGTATATATGTACATAGATAGATAATCATAGATAATCTATCTATCTTTATCTATATCCATATATTTCTCTCTCTCTCTATATATAATATATATCCAAGGACTATTTTTTCCCATTGCTAATCCCATGAGATTCGCATGATATTTTCACCACGGGTGAAACAGTTCGCCAACCTTGCCTTGGACAAATTCTTCGAGATCTATGAGCCCGCCTCGGATGCAAGACGATGCATAAAATGTATGGAAGAATGTATGAATGTATGTAACATAATTTATGTAATCATGACCATGTATGATTATATGATATATTATATTAATTTATATTATATAGTTGAGTCTTCCGTGGCCTTCCATGGTCTTCCATACTAATATAATTATATAGAGAAATTAGTCGTACCCGTGTCCACTGTTCAGAGCATCGAGATTTCTTTCATGGCGTGGCAGAGTACTGAAGCATCGTTTGGATGGAAGAGAATGTGGGAAACATATCAAAGACAATCAAAGACAATCAAAGACATAATACCCGTACCTGTTGTTTTGCACTGGGCACCAACTATACCAACTATTACTATAATATACTATAATCACTTGGCATGTAATGGAGTTTAAGCAAAAATAGAAGTGGGGATGCATCGAAATACTCTCAACAAGACAAAGAAACAGACCACCACCAACAAAACTTCGGTTTTTTGAGCAGCAAAACCAACCTGATTTCTACGACAGTTGGGAGAACAGCCAGGAACCCAACAATTTCCAGGGACATACTGTTGCACAGTGTCTGGGGCATGTCTGGGGCTGATGTGCGCAAAATGGGAATAGTTTTGATGTTTTGGAAAAGGAATCTATTAAAACCAAGAAAATAGACACTGGCTCAATAAACTTGAAGGGGAGCAAAGGGAAACCAATCAAAGCAGGAACAAGAAGAGAAGCACCGCTTTGGCCAATATACTGAAAACTCATGAAAACTCAACCTGTTATAGCGGCGAACCACTTTTGAACCACTACAATAATATGTTCAATGACCCAGATCTTTCCAGTCTCACCGCATTTTCCCTGTTGAAATCGCAGCTATGGGAATGACAAGCAGCTTTGGTCGCTGTCCATAATGGTGAACAAAGTGCTAATGTCCTGGCGAACTGGGTGAGTTTTCCAGTGATTCAAGTGGCAGAAACGACTTGCGGATGTGGATCACAACATATCAAAACTGGTTGGTGGTTTCAACCATCTTGAAAAATGATGGAGTTCGTCAATGGGAAGATTATCCCATATATATCCATATATTATTATCCCATATTATCCCATATTATCCCATATTATCCCATATTTCCATATATCCCATATATATATATATCACATACAAACTGTTTGAAACCACCAACCAGAAAACATACTTTGGGCCTGGCACCTATCGAGTTTCAGTGTGAACATCCACTGCAATGGACCAACCGCTTTTTTTTTCAACTTCCGACATGTTGATTTGGGCACTTGCATGGCAACGATGTCTGAAACATTCTGAAACTATGGCACCCCCATCCACAGGTGAATCATCATCATCATCATCATCATCATTTTCAATTCCTGATCCAAACACTGTCTGAGAAGGGACTTAACCCCCCTAAATCATACCCCAAGGACTTCCTATAAGCAGATACTTGGATGCATAGGGAATATATCAACAACGGCCATTTGGGAAGTTCCCATTTTCAGATGGATCAACTCCCCCTGGGTGACCAGTACCCAGCTCCTCCGTCGAAATGCTCATAGACTCCTTGGGTTTGGTCTCACATTGTGGTGCCAAAAGCGATGGAATTGACAGGTGTGAACCCATCAAAACTGTTAAAACACGGCAACCGATATGAACCAATTGATCGGTTTGAAGTTTTAAGATGTTTTAAGATTTTCGAGGTAAAGGAATCGGAGGGGAATGACAACCAAATGGCAATTTTTTGATCGGGATATAGCGGGATCAACATGTGGAAAACCATGGGTAAACTTGGGAAGCCAGGAAATTTCAATGCGAATCGCAAAACAAAAAAAGGAATTTCGAAATAACTACATTGTAACTACATCATGACAGGAACGGACATTCATTTGAAATGTTCCCGGCACCGATTTTTTTTAAAAGGTTTCTACGATACAACAGTCATGGGCAATAGTCATACGATGTATATAAGTCGTGGTTGGCTCATGTTTTTTTTTTTTTACGGCTAGTCTTTGGTGGATAGTACCCAACATTGGAATCCCGTTGTTTCAAAAATGTCAATTTTGGACCACTCCTTGCCCGAAGTCCAGGTGTTTGTTCCACGCGTTTTCCATGTTTGGTGCTTGAATGAATACCAAGCACAAGCAACACGCAATTTAAAATAGCACCTTGGGGAGGATACACAACCACATTTTTTGAACATGCAAAAAAATACCCTCTGGTAAACTAACATAACTATGGAAAATCACTATTTTTGTTGGTTAAATCCACTATAAATGGCAATTTTCAATAGCTATGTTAGTTTACCAGAGGGTAGTGACTCTCCGGTAGATTCCAGTATGCACTTGGTTTTTTCTGGACGAATTTCTGCTTGCCCCGCTTTTTTGTAAACCGGGGTCATGACTGACCCACTGGCCCACTGGCCCACTGGGGTGAGCCACCAAGCGAATCCCGCATTTTGATGTGTCACCGAGAGGCCAAGAAGTGACGAAACTTGTCGCTGCGCATCGCCTTCTCAAAGTCTCCAATGTTCACCTGTAGCATCTGTAGCCATGTCACTTAAGCGAAACATGACATGTTTGATAATCAAACATGGCAACCTGGAAAATCTAAAAAAAATCTATCCATCAATGGGATTCAACGGGATGTTTGTTCACCCAGCTCGCCATGTGGACGATCACCGTGACAGGAAAAAAAACATGTCTTGTTCATAGTTCTGTCGGCGTGTCGGCATTTTTATCATTTTTGATATCGCAAATGAGCACTACTGTCTGGTTGGTGGTTTTAACATGTTTTAACCATCTTGAAAAATATGAGTTCGTCAATGGGAAGGATTATCCCATATATTATGGACAATAAAAGCCATGTTTGAAACCACCAACCAGCTGTAAATTATCTGTGGATGCAAGTACCTTCCAAGGAAGATTTTTTGGTGTCTGATTTGAGGGGTTAAGTCCTTTCCACGGAAATCTCAGGAAGTAATTCGATGGATCCATAGGGTAGGATAATTCCAAAACCAGGCATAAACCATTGAATCGTATGGTTCTCCAGTTGATCTCCATTCTGTTCCCACAAAACCATAGAATCCTGTGGATGAATCACTTTTGTGATGATTCTGAATGAAGCCATCATCTATGATGAGGTCCTTGCGACGCCGTATCTAACACGCTGGTCCACCACTGATCGGTTGGGTCTCGTTTTTCGGACGGTGATTTTTCGGATTTCACATTGGGGCAATCTGGGGATTCCATTGTTGGAATCTATTATCTCCGTACTAATGTCACTTATAACATATCTCCATTTTGAATCTCAAAAAAGAGTTATTGGAGTGGTGGGATTAACTGAGCAGCAACAACTTTTCCCTGCTATTCTTGATTAAACACATGTTGTATCATCAATATTGCTGGGGGCATTCCGAAAATTGGACATGTTGTCCCATGCATTTGGGTAAAACAACCATGTTTTCAAACTAACTTATATATGCCCAGTTGGTCATGTCACCATCTTAGTTCAACTCCTCAACTGCCGCAGCTTCATCACCTGGGATGTTGGGATGTCACCTGGCTCGCTTTTGCCTGCGATTCTCTCCTTGCACTGCCTCTGGTGGTTGACCTGGTAGAGGTTACCCTCTGGTAAACGTTTACATAACTCTGGAAAATCACCATTTTTAATGGGAACATCAACTATAAATCACCATTTTCAATAGCTATGTAAACGTTTACCAGAGGGTACCCTTGTTGTGACAGAACCTGTACCAAGGCAGGGAACTTGGCGATCAACAGGTCCGTCTTGTCGAGCCGCCGGATAAGCTCTGTCAAAACCTTCGCCTCGTCCCACTTCTCGAAAACACATGGAAAACCGGCATAAAACTTGTGTTCATCTATGTATATATGTGCATAGTGTAAACATAACATTCCAATATAGATATAACATGATATAACTATAACGTGATATCTGATATATGTATGTTGATGTATGTTGCCGTGCTAAGGATCAGTAACAATCATGGATTGGAATTCCTAGTAATGTTCCTGATCGCGGCTTGTGTTTGTCATCGTGTCCTTGACTTTCATGCAATGATTTGAGGGCAACCATCCCTTTTTAATGACAACACTATATCCATACATCACCATGCTCGTAGGCTAAAACCCCACTCACATCCCCTATTCAAATTCACGTGCAAACTAATTTCAAATTATGTAGTCCTCCACAATTGCTTAATGCCACACTTTTGATGGCCAAGTCCAGCATTTTGTTTCGTCTCAATATTGGCGACCCAAAAATCCTAGATACTATGAGATAAGATACATCATAAGTCCTCATTTTTCATATGAAAACCTCCATCTATAGATGTTGTTTCCCATCGTTTTCCCATTCATCATGTTATTCTTCTCCATTCACATTACCGAGGCCCATCATCCGTATTTGTCCAAAAGGTAAATCTCCAGTCGTGGGTGGATTCCAATCTTTTCCATCGTTTACAGGTTGTTTTCCTCATATTTTGTTGCATCCCCATCATATCCGGATTAACAACCGTAAATCATCCTATATGACTACCTGATATGTCACTCCCAAAAAGACAACAAAATTATGTATCCCTATTTTGGCTGGATTTTCTGAAATTTATCGTTTTGGAGGTTGTTATGTCTCTTAACCAATACAAACCAATCACACCACGTGAAATCCCCCTGAAATCGCCATCATATCTCCATTTTGACCGGTCGAAATCTCCTTAAACAGCTATAAATCATCAAAAAATCCACAGTTGTCATATTTCAAGCATCAAACCCAGGTGATTTTCCTGAAACCCCATCGTTTTCTTCACGCAGCGACGGTGTTGGATTCCGCGTCCACGATCTCCTCGAAGGCGTTGCGCAGATCTTCAAGCTGCGCGTTCTTCCTGGGGAGATACTGCAGGATGCGGCCAGTAGCGGTTCAGTTGACATACTAAGTGGCTGAATTCTATGGTTTACTATAGATCTGGGGGGCACCATCCTGTGGGATAAAAAGGATATTTCATAGTAGGACTTCACTGAATTATGCTGAATTAACTCTGATTTATGGTAGATATATGATATAACTATAGAATACTATAGATATCTATAGTTTTCATAGGGTTTTTAATAAGCAACATTCACAAAACTGGGGAAAACCATCCTCTGGGATTTTTCATGGGATAATAACGATATTTAATAGTAGGACTTCATTTGATATAATATATAATATATGTACATATATCACCATCAATATCTCAACTGGTGATATTTAATGGGAGATAATAACATATAATAACCATATTTAATACTGGGACAAATAACTATAACGGAATTCTCATGGGACTAAGCCAAGTATCCCAACTGGTGATATTCAATGGGAGATAAGAACTATCATTAATGGGATATTGATGGTGATTTATACCCAACAAAATGGTGACACTATTAATGGGATTTTAATAGGTTTGGGATTTTGAACCAACGATGAACGGGATTTTGACTATAATGCCAAGTATTAATATGGTCGTCGAGAAAATTATGGAAATGGAAAAAAGGTTCGGAAAGAGTAGGGAAACAACTGTAACAGGTCGGACCCTATATTTCCATAATTCTGTTTTACCCAAAATTCTGTAACTATGAATGAATAAGTTTATTTATGACTATCCCATCCAACCAACTAATGAGATCCAACAAACACATGTGATATATATCGTGGTGATATCATAGGACTCGAATAGTGATGACTTAATGGGATGTAATGGGATTTACTGGGGGATAGTGGAATATACAACTGCCATGATGTGCCATGTTTTTTGTTGGATATAAGGACTTTAACCAACACACATTCAGGGAAGCGGGATATCCACCATTCCAGCTGCTCTTCATCCAGATCATAGCAGGCCCTGCGTTGTGACCGCTCCAGGAGGGCAAGGCCATCGCTGCGGTGACTGGACCCACCGTGCCGGATTTCACCACACTGGAATGGTGCTGGACCAAAAAAAAACCTCCTCTGGGCGAACTGCTCAGCGGATTTGATCAAAAAATCTGAAAGCATACAGGGGCCATACGCCGAGCAAATATGTTCACAGGTATATATGAACTATATCCTGGGTCCTTACTTTACGGAATTTCAACATCTGAGATAAATTGAAATGTGTCGCACAAAACTGTGTTTATCGCACGAGAGGGATGTCTCAGCAAGTATATGCAGTGGAACCAACAATAGAAAAGCCACCAAACGTAGGCATACGTGAAATGTTGAAGATAACAAAGTTACCCTCTGGTAAACAAACATAGCTATTGAAAATGGCCCATTTATAGTTGATTTACCTATTAAAGATGGTTATTTTCCATAGCTATGCTAGTTTACCAGAGGGTACAACAACCAACATTAACACATTACAGTCTGCCTTGGTCTGTCCAAGAAACGGGGGCGCCAAACAAATTCCAATCTTGATTCGGAAAATGGCCATATACCACCGGATCTGTAGGACGCGATTGGTTGACAAACTGATCTCTGTTTGTGCAGCAACACATGGGAATTTAAGCAGCAAAAATTGGGATATGAGTTGATATGAGCTGCGAAGAGTGGATAGAGCAACAAAAACATATAGATGCATAATATAAAAATGATCACTCATGTGAATAGGATTGAATAGAAGTATAGATGCATAGAAGTACAACTATCCGAAACATCCCTAAAACATACTAAATCATACTAAATCTAATATACCAATGCACATACATGAAAAGATGCCAAGACAATCTTAAGACCAATAAATACATAAAACATCATAAAACAAGTAGTAACATCTTTAAACAATCTCAAATACCAACATAAAATAATATAAACCAAATGTGACAGTATTGTCAGCATTGTCCATGCAAAGCAAGGGGATGTTGCTTCGGGGTTCGGAACGAGGCAGTCGATGAAGATGTTCCCTGTCGACTCTTCGAATATGTAGCCATTGTCACCGAACCCTTACCCAGAAGGGTGATACGGGTCTTGCCGCAACAACACACACCCACACACACAAAAAATACAGTATTTAATACAGTATTTGGCACCGAATTGTGGGGAAACATTCATCAATACTTCGAACATGTTTATTGTTCAATTGCTGCCTGTCAACTATTATTTTTCTACAAAATTCTGAATCGGGGGCATTCGAAATTGCACTGGGTCTAACCTCAATGACGTACGATGGGATGATCAAAATCCCATAATGTCCGATCTAGAATTGGACATGGCCATGCCATTGAACGAACAAATCGCAAATTTGCCTCCAACAACGTTTAAAAAATATTGACATTATGTGGAATCCATAAATTGTTGTCAAACAAACTAGTGAACAGTCTTTCATGAATCTATTTTTTTGGGCCCAATGATGTGGAAATTTGAAACAATTTTTGTTTGTCAAACATATGCTAGGAAAAAATGCATCTAATTCAAAGATGGAAAACCTTGAAATCTAAATTTCCCCAACCATCCTGCCAACAAAAATGTGACAAATACCCACTTGGTCATGCCAAATTTTGGTGAACAGGAAAAATGTGTCCCTGCATAGAACCCGGAAGGACCAACCCGGCCGAAGCGTCTTCTTGAGTTGTTTCATGGTTGCAATTTCCTGCCACAAACCGGAAACAAACGACATTGCCAAACAACCTGGCGCAAACTTAGCATGTTTTTCCCAAGGTGTTGCGCAAATGTCTTGCAATGTTCAAATCTGGCCGAAAAATTGAATACAGGATACATGTTTGCAAAAACATAACTATTCAATTGTCGAAAATGTGTGGCAAACCAATTTATATCACAAAATTCAAGTACTGTGGTTTGAACATCGAATTGTTTTGTTCATTGTCCAGCTGAAACAACAACAACAACAACAACAACAACAACAACATGTAGCACATGCCTTTATTGTCCGTCGGTGTCAAAAATGTGAAAACACCGTCTAAACCCAGAACCAACCACAAAATCAAATTTGCGTTTGAACTGGAAATTTGTGCCAAACAGTGTGGGTGCAATAGGTACACTGACGATAACATGATTCTTGAACCCATGCATCATGGTTTCCATTTTCCCGATGTCAAAATCAAAAGGCGCACGAAACATGAAAACGAAACAACACCTTCTGATTTAGGGAACAATTGAGATGGCATGGTTTTTGAAAAACGCGGGGAACCCAGGGAAAACATTATGTATACCAGGCAGTTGACAAGCCAACTTCAAACCACCTGAAAACAATGCGCCAGTTTCCAACTTCCCGACCAATCTCGGCGGAAAGCCATGCCTTGTCCGCTGCTGCAGATTCCATAGCTGTCGTGCAGAACACGCCAGTTACAACGTTTACCTTAGAACTTCCAAACTTCAAAGCAGTCGTAGTTGCGGTAAGTCTAGACCAACTTACTTATTTTACTTCGTGCGATCCCCATGGTGACAAACAACATCCTGACAGAAATGTTGACACAATGAATCTCATTACAAATGGTGCATGTACCAGGTAGTTCCCTGCTGCGCCAAGAAGTTTCAGCAATCTTCGTTGGCTTTCGGGCATGAAGGACCCAAAGGACGGGGTGCGCGCATGTGCTCACTGACATCAATGTTTGGCTGGTTGAATGAGTGGAGGAACGACTGACTTAATCATAAATTAAACAGCTGAATTGGGCACTGAAGAATGCATGAGTGAATGATTAAGGGCTCAAGGACAAGCGTACGCCTTCTCTTACCTGGCAAACTTCTTCTCTTAGCCATCTCTTCTCTCATTATTTTGGCCAAGTCTTCCTTGAAGCCCGCCCCTTCTCCAAGGAATTTTGCCCTGGGCCAGCTCTCATCTGAGCTGTTTCTTCTCTGGGCCAACTTTTCTTTGCCTTCTTTGAGCTACTTTTCCTCTGAGCCTCTTCATCTGCACGCTACCATTATACCACATGATACCATTCTGCTTTGAGCTGCATCTTGTCCGGGCTATTTCTTTCCAAGCTACTTCTTCTCTGAGCTACCTCTTCTCTGAGCTACCTCTTCTCTGAGCTAACTCTTCAGTGAAGCAGCTCTTCTCTGCACCGCATTTTCTCTGAGCTACGAGTTCCCCTCTATCCAGGTGCTTTTGGCGAACTCTTCTCAAAAACTATCTCTCTTCTCGGCTACCTCTACGAATTTCCTCTTCAGCCTCTTCTCTGAGCCACTTCTTTGATGCAACACCTCTTGTCTGAGCCGCCTCTTCTGTGCATTGCTTCTACTCTCAGCCCGTTCTTCTTGAGCTACATCTTCTCTGTCAAGTCTCCTCTGGCCTACATCTTCTCTGACCCTCGACTTCTGCTCTGAGCTGCCTCTTCTGTGAAGCATAGCTTCTCTTCGAAGCGCTTGCGCCGTGTCTAGCAACAACCGCTTCCATTCCTGCAGGGCACCAGAGTCTCATGATGATCATGATGTCCAAAATTGATGTGCGGTGCAGAAGCTCCAGCATGCCTAGCAATGAACACTTGCCGTTTCGCAGAGCATGAGATTCGCATCGCAGCAAAAGTTGATCTGCGGCGAAGCAGATTCAATGCGTTCTGCAAAAGCCATCTGCAAATCCCGCAAAGCAAGGACGCACCAGCAAGCCCGCACATCTTCGTGGCGCAGCAGCTTCGCTTCGAACACCCGGGTTGCGATGTCGCATAGCACGGGAGGTGCACCAAATTGGCCACCGTGCCCGCAGCGTACATTACACAGTGCGGACTTGTCCATGGCCCTTTCCAGACCGAGCCGCGGGAACATAGACCTTTCCTTCGCGACCGCTCGAGCCACATCTGCGAAACATAGTGTTTGGCCACTAAAGCTGCGAGCCACTGAGGCGCATGTGTCAACACCCTAACTAGTCATGCCACCTGTGTGATTGAATTGGTGCCGGCAAAGTTGCCCAGTGATACTTGTATGAAAAACGAAGGTTGCAAAATAAACTCCCTTTGATAAACATCGATGGATCAAAATACTTTCATGTATGTAAGCATATAGATGTGAGGCAGTTTCTTTTTTGCGCTTGTCCTGGCACATATTGAGACATCGATTCCGGCAACTTCGTGACACTTGTCCTGACATATGCTAAGACATCAATCCTGACATATCTTCTGACATACTGTATATATTATATAAAGCATATTCTGACATATTCTGACATCATGTTTCCTATCTGTTGCTTGTAGTCAGAGGTGTACACCGACTAGCGCAGATTCTTCGGACACAGATTCTGACAGATCAAATCATCGAAATCAGCTCTGACACAAAAAAGTCTGACGTACTGTGACGTATGATCTGGCAAAGCTCATGAAGACATCTTCTGACATTTGCCCGGGGAAATTTCATGCGATGCATATTGTGCATATATTCTGACTATATTTTGACATCTGCCTGCCAAATTTCACGTGACATGTAATCTAACACTAGAGACCCGCATCTGGCAAGCCAGGAAGGAGACCAGTGTCAGTTTTTTGTATGTCAACATGGATTCCCCTCAGCCAACGTGATCTGAGAATTGCGCCCTTTCATGTTGGCGACTTATCCAAGCTAGCGTATTTATACCATGGGCAAATGTTTTAAATGCATCACTTCTGTCTTGCAATTTTATGCAAATCCCACAATATAATCAATGGTCCTCCATAGTCATTGCTAAAAATAATCTAAAATCATTTCTTCTGCTCAAAGATACAATGGCCAAGATTCAACAACCACCCGTGCTGCCGACTAATCGTGAGACAAAACAATGAGCGTGCAGAGCGTGGAGAACTTTCTTCCTGGATGACAATGGGTAACATGCTGAGTATTATTTACCTTCGGTGATGCTGCTCGATGTTGCAGTGACCCCATAGATAACTCACCGTAGCTCCCATGTTCTCCCCTCATATCCAACACGATGTACAAGAATTTGCAAGATATCTATATAGTTATAGTTATATCTATTGAGTCTCTACATATAAATATAATATAGATAATGTCATATAATGTCTCAACCAAAATTTCAGCTTTGTTCTTCCCAAGCAATCCAACCAAACCAACCAGCACCAGGAGCATGGTGGGATCGTGAATCTTGAGACATGAACTGGTTGGTGGTTTTAACCCATCTAAAAAAATCCTTGGGGATCGTCCTCCCAAGGTTGAAGTTGAATGTAAAACTACTTGAAATCACCCACCAGTGAAAGATGGATAATGAAGAATAGGGCCAGCAACTTTTAGACCATTTCCTGTGAATCCACGAATTTCGGTGCCCTAAGCCTCTCCCGAATCCACGAATTTCGGTGCCCAAAGGGCCACAGCAAGGACAGCAATGGTGGTGAAGATGATGTGGCACATCACCGCGAAAATGGAGATGTCCTCAGATGTCACTGTTAAGTCATGGTCTAACCATCATCAAGTAAATGACCATAAATATTGTTGTCTAGTCATGGTCTAGTCATGGTCTAGTCATGGTCATAAATATAATCATCTCAATATAAGTCATGGTCGAGTCATCATTTATTCATAAACAACAATATAAGTACTCATTGAGTGCCACAGATTTATTCATCCGACAATAATTACTCATGGTAAATCAACATGTTACTCAGTAAAGTTCACTAATAATACTACTGCTACTTGATTAGTAAATAACCATGTCTAGATAATCATCCATGTGTATTATTGATAAACCCATTGATAAACGCATTGATAAACGCATTGATAAACCCATTGAATGTGTATTATCAATGTCTAGTTCTAAATAATCATCTGCCATTTTAGGGTACCAAAATTTGAACACCCATCTGCTTAGGCTCGAGTTGGTGAACGTCGATCAAGTCACGCTCTTTTGGCTTGTCCGAAAGGCGATGGATCTACCACAATGACCCAACCATAGATGGCCAACCATAGATTGGATAGTTTACCAACTGGAAAATCCTATTCTAACTGGATGATGTTATATGGATGATGAACCAATGGTAATATATATATATATATTATATGGTGAATTATGGGATAATAGGATAATATGATGATAGATTCCTGGCTGGTGGTATGTTTCAACCCCTCTGAAAAATGATGGACTTCGTCAGTTGGGATGATGACATTCCCAAATATGATGGGAAAATAAATTTCATGTTCCAAACCACCAACCATATTTTTATTTATCACAACTGTATCTGTATCAGTTGGAACATTTGGGATACACCAAGTTCCCAAGTGAAGCTCCACGTTCCCGACATCGCTTAGCGTCAATCAGCGGTCTGAAGGTTTCGCCCCAATTGACTCCACCTGGCGATCATGGCACGGTTCAGGGAAGTGTCTCCATACCCCCTGGTGATCTACCCTCTGGTAAGCGTTTACATAACTGATGGGAAAATCGCCATTTTTAATGGGACAACTCACTATTTCTATGGCCATTTTCAATAGCTATGTTTGTTTACCAGAGGGTAACATAGATATTGACCATGGCCATTTTTAGTTCATTTACCCATGCAACATGGTGATTTTCCATAGTGATGATGGTAGTTTACCAGAGGGTAACTTCAATGGCAAGTGATGTTTCTAACTGTGCTGAAGGTTGATGTTTCGGGATTTTTCAAAAGGACACGTGTACTTGGAGGAAATGTGCATCCTCTGCAGGTCCCAAACACGAAAGCCCAGGTTAACATGGAACAAGGGTTTTTGACCCATATCGACCCAAAATTGGACACATGCCTGGCAAAACCTACTTACTCCCAGTTCTATGCCAAGTTAAATATTGATATGTCTATACGATACTGATACATACTTGATACCCTCGGTTATTTAACATAGCCATGGAACATGGCCCATAGGAATAGATTATTTTCCCAGCTAGACACCTCCATTTGTGGTTGGGATTTTCCATGGCTATGCTAGTCATAACCAGATGGTATATCTGGCTGAAAGAACGCCGTTTGGGGATGATTCCCCGAAGTCACCGAATCAGACGTGACATCAATCTATCTATCATCCTGATGATTATACAATCTGATACATACAAAACATCTATATGTATAGCTACATATATAATCATATATATACATATATACAATGTATATAGCTACATCTATATTCATTTATTTAGTTATCTATCTATCTATCTATCTATCTAAATATCTATAATATCAATATATTAAATGGCCTCCTCTTTTTTTGTTGCCCTGACACGTGCCTGAAATGGTCATAAAGAGCGTGAGCATGCTTTCCTTGGCAATTCTTTCACTAGCGGTGGAGCCTCCGAAAAGGATCAGCCGTAAGGGGCGAACAAAATAGTCATCAACCCCCATAATCGGGGCATACCAGCACCATTGAAACCACTACTTTTACAATGTGGGGCCCCCTAGGCAAGTTGGTTTATAACTCCAATTACTATGGTTTATTATATTTAGAACTATAATTTTCATGGGGTCTTTAAACCAACTTATAACTGGGGGGGGCCCACTATCTGTAGCTATTTGTGGATTCTTGGATTCCACATGGTGGCCATTATGGAGGAGATATCTTACAAATTCTTACAAAGTGTATGGATTTTGCTAAATCAAGTCGTACACAAGGAGTCCCACACTGCAGGAATCTTGTTTTTTGGGAACAGTTCCTCACCAACGTGGAGTCTGCTGCAGCTCTTTATTGATTGCTATACAGTCCTCAAATCCAACGTGAAACCGCCAACCAACCCCTAAATTCGTTTGGAAATTATTGAAAACCAATCCATTTTTGGTCTTCCAAATCCCGAATGATGCTTAATAAACCCATCCATAGTTGAAAACCCATTTTCCAGACCCCAAACGCACAGCATATTTCGCATTTGCCAAGTGACTGGAAGACTCGACCAATAGACACCCACCTTGTCCACACACCCGGCCATTGTGGCTGAGCCTACCTGGAAAGGTGGGAAATCCTTAAAAAAAGGGGGTTGGCTAACAATTATAATGATTAAAGGGGCCTTTAAATGATAATAGGGCCGAATATTCATTAATTAAAGAAATTATACAATTTTCCACCAATATACATTTAAAGCCCTTTGCCAGATATAAATGCTTATAAAAATTCTAGATGGGTTAGCATTTCATAAATGAGGTTATAACTGACTTACAACTAGTAAATTGCCCGTTAAGGGAAAACCCACGGAAAAACACACACACATATATTGGGTATAAGTAATTTATGGTGAGGCTGTGCTGAGATCTCTTGGAAAGTCACCCTTTGGGATATCCCACCAGAAGTTGAGCTGCCGCATCCCCAAGACTTTTTAAAACATAAAGCAATTGAAATATAGAACGGAACCTTTAATTTTAGGTCCATTATTTTTAGAAACACGGGGTGCCGCTCTGCAAAATGTGAGCCAGTGAGCCACTCGAAATTCAATATTTATCGTGTCATCAGTATCCTACCCAGATGCTTATGATGGTTATGGGTCAAAACCATCGTGTGCTGAACATAAAAACAGCGAGCAAATTGGGGTGAAAATCACTCCACCCCATTTTTTTTGGGTGGAAAAAATCATCCATCGCCAACGCCAGGTCCGACTCAACGTGCCCCGAAATCTTGGCAAATCCCCTTGGATCATCGTCCAGGATGTGGTGCAATTCCGGACCTACCATGATCATAGTAGGTTGGTGGTGCAATAACCATCTTGACAAATATGAGTTCGTCAATGGGAAGATGATTATCCCATATAGAAAATGGAAAATAAAATTCATGTTCCAAACCACCAACCAGCCATAGTAGAACAATAGAATCTACCACACCAAAATTGTCCAATCGATTTGAAGCGATACCACAAGACATAACTCTTTCCCAGCAATTGGGGATCGAAACAGCCACAGCACTGCTCGTATCAACGGCACGGCGGCCTCGTATCTGCAATAGTCAGAGACCAGCTGGGTGAACATGATTCCAAACCTTAGCAACCCCCATATTGGTGACTGGGTGAGGGCAATTACTCCATGCTTGATATGTCAAAACATGGAAAACATGGGATATATGACTAATATCCATTCATGGTTGGGGTTTGATAAAAGATAGGCAACGGATATTAATGATCTCTTTGAATGGTCCCAGTTGACCATCCAGTTGCATCCTCCATCACCGGCCCACCATCCGGCCATTGCTGCCCAGAAACGTGTAGAAAATAAGCACCAACAGCACCAAGGTCCTAACGGTGTCGCCGGCGAACGAGGAGAGCTGGGAAGAAAAACCAGGATGATATTGGTGTTCAGTTGGTTGAGTGAAACTTTATGAAGGATATCACGTATTTTACCGTATTCTATATGATATATGGTTGGAAGGATTATTGGAACATATCAGAAAATCAAACAAATCTATATCATTCTATATCTTAGTATACCTGTGAAGGAGTATATGATATGATATATCTTTATCATTCTTTCTCCGGGGGTGGCCTCTGGCCTTCATTTTTGCACCACAGCAGCTAAGGTGCCTCCAGCTTGCCGCCAACACAGAAACATTGTGTTCGGAACGGTCAGTTGTGGTTTCAACCCCTCTGAAAATATGAAAGTCAGTTGGGATGATGATTCCCAATATATGGAAAAATAAAAAATGTTCCAAACCACCAACCAGATTTTAGTCTTAATAAAGTCCAAAGATGTCTAAAGTCATTTTCCAAGAGTGTTTTGCTGAAAAGTCTTGTAACATGAAGTCGCCTGGAAAAGTGGATGTTTGAACTACAAACAACCATGACAGATATGATATACGCAAACTGCACTTTCCCAACTGTTCATCCTGGGAATCACCAGACAGAAAAAACGCATGGCCGAGAGTCCAAAATAACGAAGCCATGCTGCTGGCAATGGATAAAACCAGGGTTCTCAAGGCACCCACATACCTCCCCACGCTGCGTAAGTGTCCCACTTTCATGGGGAAAACGGAGGAATTCCATGAGATTTCCAGAAAACTTGAGATAATCTTCAGACAAACCCCAAATAACCCCCAAGTGCACCATCCGGGCCCTGAATAATCCACAACTTATAATTATAGGAGATTACAAAAAACTGCCATCAAGAATACACTATTTAACATTATTTGACCCAATCTTAAGAGTCAGAAAGGAAATCAGTCTTTACCCCAGAGTAGCTGGGAACAGCTGAGGTGTTCAAGTACCAAAGTCGAGAGAACCGGCTTGTGCCATGTACCCACCATTTTTGAGAGGTAAATCGCATGTTGTATCAGTAAATCACCTATAAATGGGTTATTTTCATATATTTTCACCTATAAATGGGTTGTTATCACCTATAAATCACCTATAAATGGGTAAATCTCATGTTAAATTAAGAACGCAGTTGACAAAATCCATGCCATCTGTTGAAGGCTGCACGGTCCGTCGACATTGAACCGTCTTCTTTGACAAAGGCGCAATTCTTCACCAAAAATGTTTCTTTATTCAATTCAGTCCAATCACCATATCGAAATCTCCCAAACCATTTGCGTGAAAAATGTTTTTGAAAACAATCTGAAACATCCAAGCATGATTTTGCAGAACACCCGAGAAAAACAACAAAAACTCATCACCTGAACAAAAAAAAATCACCATGAAATCTCGGCCCACAAACTCCAGTAAACCAGGTAGATCCACCGGTAATTTACCAGCTCCATTTCCTGGCCAAAACTATGTCATCATGTCGTGCACAAAATTTGGGTCATGAAAAAACAGTTTTTTTTTTTTTTGCCATCTTAAACCATCTTAAACCCACATCTTTGGATGGTTAAAACTAACATGTTTAAAACATGTTTAAATCCGTTTTTCATAATTCACATCCTAGTTTCACCAGTGAAATACCTGGAATTTCCAACAGTTCCAAGGGTTTCTGTCATACGGGTATGGGTCAAAATTCGGTACCCCAATACTTCGATGGTTAATCGCAAAAAAATACTGGTTGGTGGTATACCTACCCCTCTGAAAAATGATGGACTTCGTCAGTTGGGATGATGTTCCAGTCACCAACCAGCCATTGAATCCCATAAAACAACCATTTTGGTAGGTTAGTAACCCCACTTTTCTAATGTTCCAGTCACCACCAACCAGAAATAGACATTCCAATCCCTCCCCTTGGTCTTAAATGTTGATCCCCGACGCCGACTATTCGAAACGCCTCAGCAGCCGCACCATGCGCACGCCGCGCAAGGCGCGCACCAGGCGCACGGAGCGGAAGAAGCGCAGCTGCGAGGTGCTCACCTTGCGAAATCATGGGACAGCGGCTGGTTTGGTGAGGATGATAATGGGATAATCATAAGATATAACCATCATTCATGGGATTATAATTAGATTATAATGGGATATAATTAGTATGACAATAGCTGATTTGGTGAGGATAGTGGTGGGCTAATAATGCGATATAAAAATGAAATATAACATCATTAATGTGATATCATATTGATAATATTAGAATAATAAGGGGACTCACATAGCTGGGAAAAGTAGGGATGATCATGGAATAATCGGAGAATAATGGTACATGAATGGGATACAATTAGTGTTAATCTATATATGTCAATCTGATATAAAATGGGATACCACCATCATTAATGGGATTATCATGAGATTATAATGGGATTATACAGTACTAATGGGACAATAGCTGGGAAAAGTAAGGATAATCGTAACCATTAAGTTAGTATGACAGTAATGGGATTATAATGGGATATGATCATAGTAATAGTTATAATCTAATGGTAATATATGGCATTAGATAATGTCATGGGATTGATTTAAGGGAAAACCCATGGGTTTTTACATCAAATTGATCGGGCTTTCCGGTTAAAACTTTCCCATCATCCAATTCTATGATAATGGCATAATAATAGGATTTAACCATCATTCATGGGATTATAATTAGATTGTAATGGGATTTAATTAGTATGACAATATCTGATTTGGTGAGGATAATCGTGGGCTAAAAATGCGATATAATACGAAATACAACCATCATTGATGTGATCTAATATGGATAATATTAGAATAATAATGGGACTCACAAAGCTGGGAAAAGTAGGGATGATCATGGAATAATCGGAGAATAATGGGACATGAATGGGATACAATTAGTATTCATCTGATATAAAACGGGATATAACTATAACCATCATTAATAGATGGTCATGGGATTAAGCGAACTATGAATGGAATTTTAATGGGATTTAATGATGGGATTATAAACAGGGAGTAAGCCAAAAATGATGGCTGTAGCTGGTTTAGTATAGGGATAACAATAGGATGATACTGAGACATGAACAGGATGTATATAATTAGTGTCAATCTATGTGAATCTGATGTAAGTAGGATATAACCATCGTTAATGGGGTTATAATCGATAATAATGGGTTAATAATGAGAACCACATATATTCCATATAATGTTCCATTTATGTAATGTAGTGTTCCTACGGGTATCATTTTCCTATATATAGTTGAACGATGATGTTCCCATTTATGGAACATTTCCTATTTACCTGTATGAACAAATGTGATTTCGTGGGTTTTAAATGGACCCTTCCCTAAAAATGACAGTTTTTCTGGGAACATCAGCTGTGAATGCTTGATTTTCCAGCTATAGCCAGGTTTGACTACCAGAGGGTCTTGACCGATACCCGTTTATGATGGGAGGCATTTAGCATTGAAACAAAACATTGGGATTCTGAGCATCGAAAAAATTGGGGATGATCAATTTCTGTTGGTTATACCCTCCAATCTCACCTGGGGCTGTGGGCCAAGGAGGGGCTGATGATCTGATGAGTTCCATCCATTCCGCGCATATCCTTTGGGGCCCATCACTGTCCACGGTCGGATATCCATCCTATAAATGCGTTGAGGAAAATGGCTAGGATAAAGAACCAAAGATCACCAATGTTCCGCCCTGTGGCTGTAATTTGCCTACAATGGGTTGGGGCAACCCTGAGACATTTTCCTGCATAGATGGCAAGATCCAGAAGGAAAACACAAAAACACTGACGATGCTATTTAAGGGCAGTTTCCACCACATCCGCAGGTATCAAACACAGGTTTACTTGATACCCAATCATAAATTCCATAATGTCACCTATGTTATGTGCATATGTACCCTCTGGTAAACTAACATAACTATGGAAAATCACAATTTTATCGGACAACTCACTATAAATGGCCATTTTCAATAGCTATTTTAAATTACCAGAGGGTATATATACACATGTACATGCCATCTGGTTGGTGGTTTCAACCTACTCCTCTCGTCACTGGGGATGGCTTTTTTGGAAAAGCCTGGAAATGCCTCCTACTTACCTTGCTGAATATCCCTATAACATGTTCCCTCACCAACCAATGGCTGTCCCTCCCATGTTGGGCAGTTAAAATCCCAAAAAACGTCCAACCAAGTTAACAATTCAAAAGTAGATTATTAATACCACATTAGTTGTCATATACCCATAAATATATTTATCTATCTCCATTTTGTAAACCAGTAATCATAATCATGCAATCTAATTTACCCAATTTCAGTTGTATGTATATATAAATATATGTATATAAATAATCATGCTGGAGTACATACAATCTAGATGAAATGTTCAATCTTGATACTATTCCGGCGAGGATTTTTTGAACGTGCATGACATGTCCAGGTTCTATCTACTCCCGGATGACTATATATTTACTGGTTGGGGGTTTTAACCATCTTGAAAAATATTAGTCAATGGGAAGGATTATCCAATATATTATGGAAAAATGTTTCAAACCACCAATCAGTTTATATTTATCTTGGTGTGGGTCAAAATTGGTTACTCTAAACAAAAGATGCTTGATACTAAGAAGAGACATTCCAATCTGTGATCCCTTCGGTCTAAAAAATGTTGATAGACTCATCCATTTTTGTTGGTATATCCTGAAAATGACAAGACAATGGACAAACAGTTGGGAAATTTGACGAATCGAATATATATATATGTTTAAGATATATATATATATATAGGATATTATACATATAACAAAATGTGTATAATAATTTGATATAAATAAATAAATGAATGAATAAATAAATGAATAAATAAATATATATATATATATACATCATATCCATATATATATATATATAGACATAAACAATTGGATAGCCCCATGTCACATCCCCATCTTTCCCTGCAGCTTCCAGTTGCGCACCTGCTCCCGTGCTATGGCCTGCTGCCAGAGTTCGGTAGAGGTTTCCAGTAGCGAGAGTGAAATGATGCAGAAATCCTGGGAGATCATGGGGAGAGCTTCGTCAGCATAAGGATAGTATGAAGGATACCCTCTGGTAAATTAACATAGACCCTGGCAGATAGGAGTTGGAAGATTGGTTTCCATTAAAAAAATGTTATTCTCAGGGTCTATGTTCATTTACCAGAGAGTATATTGTATATATGAAAATGTTAAAAGCTAAATGTGGATAAACCATTGGATTGCACATATGTAAAGAAAATACATAAAGGCAAACGATCTTCTATATATGGACATATATTCCTCTCATGTGTATGATACACATACACATACAACATAATATTGGATATAATGGATAGAATGGGAAAGTATCATGGGGATATTGTCCTATAATATGGTCATAAATACATAGATAAGCAAAATCAAATTCAACTAAATTACATCATGAAACTATGGAAAATCCATGACTATATATTGTAAAAAATGCTATATTATATTGAGTTTTGATATTACAGTGAATTAAATGAAATCAAACTAAATTACATTCTCTTATCAATATGTCAATGGGGTTAAACATGAAGTTATACTGCGATTTATAATGCAAAGATAAATTACGTGAAACAATCACATCTATATGAAAGAAAATTGTATACTACCTTATACGATCTATTGTTCTTTGCATTTACTCATACTATACCAGCAGTACCGCACAAGGCGGTGGCGGAAGTTTCAAAAATGGAAAACCTATAGGAGAGGTGAGTTGGTGTGGCGCAAAAATGGCAGAGCGAACCCACTGATGGATTGAAAGGTGGTTGAGTGTTTCTGCCTTTCTGTCTCTCTTTTTCTCTTTCTCTCTGTGTCTCTCTTTCGCCATCTATCTACAGAGCTACCTTTCTAGCCATCTACCTATCTACCTGTCTATTCATGTAGCTATCGTTCGATTTGTTTATTCACCTATCCATTAAACTGTCTATCTTTCTGTCTATCCCGCCATTCATCCACCCACTTACTTCTCTCTGTTAGTTTTTTTTTCCGTCCATCTCTTCATCGATCCATGTCCACAGCTATCCATCACCATGTTCTTCGTTCTGTTTCTCTATCGATTCATCCATCTATCTAGCTACCCATGCGTTTATCTGGTCATCGACGCTTCTAGCGATCTTTCGATCTAGTGATCTATGTGTCCATCTGTCCATCCATCTACCTGTCTATTGATCGATCTGTCTCTCTATCTAGCCACCCATCTTTCGATTTATCTCTCGATGTATTTATGGATCTTGCGATGCATCGATCTGTCTATGTATCCATCGATCTAGTTACCCGTCTATCTATATGTCTGTCTATCTATCAGTTTTTCTGTCCATCTATCTATCCAGCTAACTATCTCTCTATCTATTTGTCTATCTGTCTATCTATCGATCAAATTCTTTCTCTCTCTCTCTCTAAATATATATATCTATCTCTCTCTCTCTGTCTATGTCTCTACCCATCTATTTCTCTATTTGTCTTGGTATCCAACTATCTGTCTTTGTGTCTATGTATCTATCTGTCTATCTCGCCTTCTATTTCTCTAGCTATCTCTCTGACTATTTATCTATCTGTCTGTCTCTATCTATCTATCTGTCTGTCTCTATCTATCTATCTATCGATCTGTCTATCTATCTATCTATCCATCCATCCATCCATCCATCTATCTCTCTATGTATCTATCTATCTCTCCATGTGTAATGTAGTGTTGTGTAGTGTAATTTAGTGTAGTGGAGTGTAGTGTAGTGTAGTTGTGTAGTTGTAGTTGTAGTGTTGTGGAGTGTAGTGTAGTGGAGTGTAGTGTAATGTAGTGTAGTCTAGTGAAGCGAAGCGAAGCGACATCTTAACCTCCAAAAGTGGTCCGAACCCCTAGTGTTTTTCACATTTTGACTTCAAAATGTGCTTCGCGTCACAACGGCGTGCACTTTTTCGACATCTGAATGTCGAAAAGTGGTCCGAACCCCTGGTGCTTTTAACATTTTGACTTCGAAATGTGCTTCGCGCCACAACGGCGTGCACTTTTTCGACATCTGAACCTCCAAAAGTGGCGCGAACATGTGGTGTTTTGTACATTTTGACTTCGAAATGTGCTTCGCGCCACAACGGCGTGCACTTTTTCGACATCTCAACTTCCAAAAGTGGTCCGGAGCTGGTGTGTTTTGTGCATTTTGACTTCGAAATGTCGCCGCAACGGCGTGCACTTTTTCGACATCGCAACTTCCAAAAGTGGTCCGGAGCTGGTGTGTTTTGTGCATTTTGACTTCGAAATGTGCTTCGCGCCACAGCGGCGTGCACTTTTTCGACATCGCAACTTCCAAAAGTGGCCCGGAGCTGGTGTGTTTTGTGCATTTTGACTTCGAAATGTGCTTCGCGCCACAACGGCGTGCGCTTTTTCGACATCGCAACTTCCAAAAGTGGTCCGAACCCCTAGTGTTTTTAACCTTTTGGCTTCCAAATGTGCTTCGCGCCACAACGGCGTGCAACTTTTCATCTCTCATCTGGCCAGCTGGCTCCGCACCCGCCGCTTTAGCGAGCCTACTCTTCGACCCTCCGGAGCCCCAAATCATTGGAAAAACACAGTGTTTCGCGACTTTTCCACCTTTTCGCGCATCTGAATCTTCTTTCTTCTTACTCTTTCTCTTCTACTCTTCTTTCTTCTGATCTTTCTCTTCTCCCTGCTCTGCTTTTCATCTGTCCATATTGTCGGAAGTTTAACTTCTAAACTTCCTTCGATTATAGTGTTTTCTAAATTCAATTCTATTAAACTATTTCATCTGGAGACTAAGAATAATGCGGTTGCTTTGCTTCTCCTTGGCATAACGGAGATTTGGGATATGTTACTATAAATATATATGGTAATATTATAGGGACCTATGAAGTATATGACTAATATGTCAAGATTGGGATATAGCAAATTGAACTCAAAGAAGACAAACCGTTACTAAGACAGAGGTCAGTTTAACCTTTTCAATCTTCTTGAGAGCAAGTATGTGTATACAATATATAGACATATACATCCACAATGCCACAATGTATCAAAAACACATATATAGTATACATACATATATAAATATATGTATTGTATATAATCATATATATATATACATTATGTAATGGGATATATTCGCGAACAGTATGATACTTGGGTTTCTCTAAACAACTTATTATTGGTTTGGCATTTAACCAATTTCTTTGCTGGGACGGTTGGGACCATGATCAACACTTGGTATCTGATGGCGCAAGTTTGAGACTGATGCATGGTTAATATACTATAAATATACTGTTAATAATTTTGCTATGGTTAATATATGGTTGATATATGGTTGATATATGGTTAATGTATGGTTAATATATGGTTAATATATTACAAGAGTTTCCCCAGAATGATTGATAAAAGGGGGGCAACCATATCTCTTCATTAAGCAACCTGCAGAACAATGTGTTTGATGGTGGACAAGCTAGATCCAGCTTCCTGGCCCTCCTCAGCACTGCCAGGTGCTGCATGAGGTACTCTTGAGAATGCGCTGTACCTGCAATCGTTGTACGTCAGCATCCCAGTCATCTTGCTTACTGAGTGAGAGTCCATGGACGTGTGCATCTTTTTTGCACACAACAAGAATGTCACACTCATCGTCCAGTTCGCTGCATCCTAGTCCCGTACACTGAGCAGACAGGACACCTGTGTCAGCGGGGTTAATTTGCCATTCAGAGTTCTCCAATATAACAGCTTGCCACTCTTTGAATCGTGGGTCTGTGTGGCTTGTGATGATTTCGTTGATGGTGAGCTCGGGAGTGTCTGTGGTAACATCGAGGCGAGCGCGAAGGGAGTCTGATTGGTCGTCCCGTCCATCCCAAAATTTCATCAACGCTGAGATGTCCCAGATATCAGCGAATATCAGCTATCTGGAGATTCTTTGGGCTAAACAAAATGAGGATCTGGAACACTGATAACTCAGATAGATAGAGGATTAGGTATTTTTTGGATTATCCTCTATCTTTTTGGCTCAAAAAATGAGGACACACCTCACACAAGTAAATCCCACGGGTCTCACCATCTTCCGGCCTCCGAAAAGACGTGGCAAACGCAGGAAAATCCCTCATTGACCTATGAAGATATGGTGAATTAATAGGTTTTATTCATGGAACATCCACATAAACAATGAAGGTTTGAGTGGGAAAACCATCGAACGACCAATAGATTTTCCAGCCAGCCAGGTTTGATGACACCGGGGTGATATTTTAATTCCAAATATGACCAATGTGACCATCAATGGGTGGATATGACCAACCTCCCCAAACTGTCAGTTTATCGGCTACCCTCTGGTAAACGTTTACAGTTTGCTCTGGAAAATGGACTAAACTTATAGCTGATTTACCGAACTTAAAGATAGTGATTTTCCATAGCAAACTGTTAGTTTACCATGTTTACCAGAGGCTATGTTCATGGTCCATGTACAAACCAAAAAACATCCACGCACCATACGAGAAACCCAGGTTTACCCTTCAGTTCTAGCTCCAGCTTTTTCGGGCCCAAATTTTGAGCTTGACAACAGCATACACATCATGGACACATATATAGATAAATAGACATGTGATACTAATTATCGATAACACATACACATATGACACATATAACAAATATGGATGTATATATATATATATATATGATTATATGTGTAGTTATATTTATATAACTTTTATACACATACTGTATGACTCATCCCAAAGGCTAGACCGGAACGTGTCCATCTGGGCCAGGCAACAACTTTGGACTACGCTTCAACCATTCGTTTCCAATGGCTCACATGTCTCAGTAAAAGTTAGTGAAATGTATGTACTTGTATGTATATGTAAATACCAATCATATTATGTACTATGTACATGTATATATGTATGTATATATATATATATATCCACATATTGTATTCATGCCTAGCTGAGTAGCTGAGATAGATACACGCTCCCTGTACCCATGGGACAGTCACACCAAGCATCAAAGATATTCCAGGCGCGGTTTTTGCCACAGAAGAACTTCCTGTTTGGAAGGCCAGGGTCCAGCAACAAGACGAAGGTCTTAAACGACAAGTGTGTGGTTTGACCACTCAACATATTGAAAAGAGATCGAATGACTTACCCTCTGGTAATTTAACATAGCTATTGAAAACCACCATTTTTAATGGGAAAACTCACTATAAATGGTGATTTTCCACAGTTACGTTAGTTTACCAGAGGGTATATGATGGTTGAACTACACATGTCTTAACCAACAAACAAACCAGGTGTTTTCCTGCAAACAACAGCCAGCAAAGACCGAGATTGCACACAAGAAACATGTCCCTTCCCTGCAAAACAACAAAAAGGGAAGCACACACCACCAATACCCTCTGGTAATGACTAACGTAGCTATTGAAAATGGCCATAGAAATAGTGGATTTTCCCATTAAAAATGGTGATTTTCAATAGCTATGTTAAATTACCAGAGGGTAGTACTTAAGAAGCGGGTATGAATCCTGTCTGGATCACTTGCAAGATTGTGGTTATAGCGCAATACATGGTCAACCAATCAAGCCCTGCCAACAAAACATCTGGGAATGACACATTTGCCAATTTATTGCTCAAAAATCGCCCACCAATCTACCCAGCGAAGGTTAAGCCAGAAAATTTATCGCTCAGTCAACCTTGGGAATAAACTTGAATGTCGTATGCCTGGAAAACATTTTCATCGCAGTTTCTGAGGCAAAAGTGTAGTTTTTCCTTTGGATAAACCACTTGGATGTCCTAAGGCCCACCCCAACCTATGCTGAATCCCTGGTGTTGATGGTTAAACTTGTGAAGCCAACCCATCTTTGCTGGTTTTAGCTTAAGTGCTGCTGGCCAAATCCCAACTTTCCGTGTAAACATCACATTTTCATGACTGGTTGGTGGTTTTTTTTAACCATCTTGAAAAATGATGGAGTTCGTCAATGGGAAGGATGACATCCATTCATATGAAATGGAAAGTCATAATCCAGTCATGTTCCAGTCACCACCAACCAGATGAGTACTTTGTGCTTTCTGGTTTCAACATGTTTCAAGCCTCCTAAAGTACTAAAGGGGGGGTTCAACGTTGGCTAAACCTCCACTAATTCCACGCTTCCTGATCCCGATCGCCAGGAAGGTCAAGGAAAGCTCTATGACCTCGGGTGGCCAAAAAAAATGTCCCAAGAAAGGATGGGGGGGTAATGGTGATTCAATAGTGATTGATGAAATCTAATGATGATCAATGGATACAGAGTGATGATCAATGATGATCAATGGATTAATAGTAATTGGATGGTGACTTAACATGGGATTATTGATTACCCCCTTTCTAATCATCTTTTTTGAATGGCAATCATCATTGATTCTTTCATTGGTAATAAAAAATAGGTAATCATCTTTTCCTAGTGATTGAATGGTGACTGAACATGGGATATTGATAGGATATTGATGAAATCTAATGAAATCTAATGATGATCAATGGATACATCTAAATGTAGTACCCACTGCCATAGGCCTACCATTTGGGAAAAATACAGAAACCACCGGGAATGCCATGAGGGACGGTTTATGACATTGGCTTTACCACACTAGTGGGAACCAGCCCAACACTGGTGATTCTTCAACTCACCGGGCTCCCCAAAGAACGTGATCAACTGCTACCCGGCCGGGTAAACGTTTACACTTTGCTATTGAAAATGGCTATAGAAATTGAAATAGTTGATGATTTACCCATCAAACATGGTGATTTTCCATCGTTTTTTGGGACTGTTTACCAGGCCGGGTACTTTTTAATGGACCTCCAAATTTGAAGCCATCGATTCAGACCTTGGACGCCGGCGAAAATACCCACGGCGGTGGCGTTGACAACTCCATACCAAACAGGGACGTTCTCCTGGAGCGCAAGCCGTGGCTTTTCAACCAGCCTCTGGTAGTTTGTTGCCAATGGAAGATCCAGTTTAAATAGGGATTGATCATCTGGGTATGGGTCAATACCTATAGATACATTTTTAGTGGGATGAACATCCATTTACCAGCTATTTTGGGGTTCACTAGGTACCAGGGTTTTGACCCATCCCCATCCATCAAGGGGGTATTTTCCATAGCTATGTTGAATTGCGGAAGGGCAAATCAAGATTCTTCGCGGGTTGCCAACACTTTTTGCTTGTCCAATGGATCCAAGTAAGGGATGAACAGATGCATTCAGAATAAACACTTGTGACTGGTATTCCTACCAATCCGGGTCCAATGGATAGCCAAGTCCTCTGGCTAGTCACAAGTTGCCCAGCATCATATCTGAAATCCTGCAGACTTCTGCCTACGCATCCATACAATGTGTATCTCCACAGTGTGTATAGATAATCATACATACGGACAAGGTAAATTACGGACATATCTATCTATCTATCTATCCATCTATCCATCCATCTATCCATCTATCCATCTATCCATCTATCCATCTATCCATCTATCTATCCATCTATCCATCTATCTATCCATCTATCCATCTATCCATCTATCCATCTATCTATCCATCTATCCATCCATCTACCCATCTATCCATCTATCCATCTATCCATCTATCCATCTATCCATCTATCCATCCATCTATCCAGCTATCTATCTATCTATCTATCTATCCAAATCTATGTATGCATCAGTACATAAAACTTTTTTTTTGTTCTCTCTCTCTCTCTCTCCCCCTTTCGCTGGCTACACACACACATATATATGTAATATGTGCATGTGTGTGCATACAATTACACAATTGTTATCTCTATATGCGCAAACATGTGTTTATGTGTAAATGTAGGGATGGCAAAAATTGATAAACAATGTGCATAGCTTGGCCATGTCATGCCCAGTTGGCTGGAAATTAACATTTTGCTATGGTATAAATGGCCCATTTAAAGATGACAAATCCCTGGTAAAATTATGCTGGTTATCCATTGTTATGTCAAATTACCATAGGGTATCAGTTTTTGTTGGTTGAAACACTCAAACCTAGCTTTATTGGCTCTAAAAACTCGACTCATTCTTGATCGGATATTGAATTTCTACGGCCCTACCTGAACCTCTTACATAGCTATTTTTGGTTGGCAAATCGTGCAAACAACTGCCATCTGTTTATCGTTTTGTGGCCTATGCTCAAACCTGGACTTGCCATCTTTGTTTGTATTTATTTCAGGAAATTACCAAAGATACATGTCCCAATCATGAGTCACAGCAAAATTTCTGGTCATTTTCTTAGTTAAATCATTGAAATTCTTACCCTCTGGTTATTTAACAGTTCACCATGGAATGGATGGCCCTAATCGAAATAGATGGTTTACCGTTCTTAATAGCATGGTGGATCTTTCCATGGCAAACTGTTGGTTAGTCATAACCAGGCCGGGTAAATCTCCATGGATTTTTCACGGATCACCCCCCCCACTGAGGCCCCAAGGTTCACCGAACTTTCTTTGGGTGAAATCCCTATGTTTAACGGTCCTGCCCAATGGAGGCTGCTAAGTCGACCTCAACACCTCCAGCAGAAATTCCAGCACACAATCTCTCCAGGGAATGGTGATTTACTGGTGATTTAATGGTGATTTGATGAGATACTGGTGATTAGTGGGAGATACTGGGAATATAAAAAGCCACGGCTTTAGTAATCCCAGCACCTTTTTTCATACCAAATACCTCCATTGTGTGGTCCAGAATATGTGTTTTGATCCCCTAGTAAGTAAACTATGGTTTCTGGGGGGTGTTTAATACTTAGGGCTATCGGATTCATGCGAAATTCATGGGGATTTAACCAAATCATATATATATATGTATGTATGGATATAAATAGGATTTCATGAACAAAAATGGTGAGAAATAAAACGTCATCTAAACATGGATACAAAAGTTGGGCTTTACTGGGATTTCTCCAAGAAGAAATGGGATTTACCTTGGAAGTCATGGATTTATACAACCTGGTTGACGATTTATCTATGAAAATTATCCAACAAATAAAATCCATGGTGTATGTCCTGGTTGATGATTCATGCCGGAAAGACATGATAATTGTCTCTCCGGAAAATCATCTGTATAGATATTATATCTGTTGGGGAGATGAATCAAATTGTAGCGCTCCAAATCTCGTCCTGCTTTTTTTTTGGTTTGTACCACACAAATGACAAGCATTTATGGACCAAAATTGGCACCTCTGCCTGCCTTATGGCCTTGTCGCCATGAAATCAGAACGGAGAAACTCAGGTTGCCAAATATCTATTTTCAAACAAATCCATGTATACCGATCTGCATTGGTCTACTTAAAAGGGACGGGTGATTTTTTCGGTGACGCAATGGAGCCGTTGAAGCACCTATGACTCTTGGGCCAATGATGTTGATCCATTTGATGCGCAAAGGATACATATAATATACCTCAATTGCTACCCCTTCTTCTGAGCTAAATGTTCATTTTGGAGGGGGGGTACCATATATATATACACATGTATACAAATATGTATATAAATATGTAAATACATATGTGTTGTAGGTATATGCATATATATATATATACACATTATTTTACAATATTTTACATACATAAAGATATACAATATCTGTTGGATATCCTACTTGCTAAGTCTATCATCACTAGTACGCGTATGATTTTCTACAGAACACATTCCTTGCAAATACCCATGCAAGTACAGAGCGTATCTACCAAATCCTACCAAAACTTGCCCTATCATCGGTGAACACCAATAGTACTTGCGAAACCTTTTTCCCAATGGAGCTGCATTGACCAGTCAGAAACAGATCGAGAACAGAAGAAACAACAATCAAACCACCAAATGAAATCTTTTAGGTACCTGATGGTTAGTAGGTGAAATATCCATTAATCAATCATCATTAATCATCATTAATCACCACTAAGCACAAGCAAGACACCCAACAAGATCATGTTGATCACGATGACACTGCTGATGCCATTCACAAACCTTCACCGGGACAGGGGCCACAGGGGCCACAAAAACCACGCCGCAGTGTCCGTGGACGATCCACGGTACGTTAGTGCCATATAAAACAACAGAAATTGAGGGTATATCCCTGAACAAATCGCCCTTCCATAGATCTTGTGTGTATAAGATTAAACATTATATATATGTATATGTATATATGTATATATGTATATATGTATATATGTATATATGTATGTATGTATGTATGTATGCATGTATGTATGTATGTATGTAATGTATGTAATGTATGTAATGTATGTAATGTATGTAATGTATGTAATGTATGTAATGTATGTAATGTAATGTAATGCAATGTAATGTAATGTAATGTAATGTATGTATGTATATACGTGTATATATAATTATATATATACATATGTAAATGGTAGGTACCTCAAATTTTTCCCGGTTCCTGACATGGACCCTGACTTTTCCCTGGGTAGAGGTGTGGCAAGCGAATCAACCATTGGCAACTAGTCAAACAAAACATTTTTTGCTAGATAGTTAGGTGTCAAATAATTTAATTTACGAATATATATATATATATGGCAAGCAAATCAAGCACCACACTACCGACTAATTTTTTGTAGCTCCAAAAACAGGAGATCAACTCCTCGTGCCCAGTGCCCATGTCATGGCTCATCAGATCACATCGTGAGTTGGTGGACACCCTTTGGTAATTTCAGCATAGGGAACTGGAACATCACTAATTCACCCCGCTTCGCGTGGGGTGGCCGCCCACACCGCAGGTTTATTTAGGTCCGTGAGAGGGGCTAAGGGTGGTTTTCCCCCGTGGGGGCTCCCCAAGCTAAGAATTTTAACTTCCCCCCCCCGTGGGGGCTCCCCAAGCTAGGGAATTTTCACTTTTCCCCCCCGTGGGGGCTCCCCAAGCTAGGGAATTTTCACTTTTCCCCCCCGTGGGGGCTCCCCAAGCTAGGGAATTTTCACTTTTCCCCCCCGTGGGGGCTCCCCAAGCTAGGGAATTTTCACTTTTCCCCCCCGTGGGGGCTCCCCAAGCTAGGGAATTTTCCCCCCCGTGGGGGCTTCCCAAGCTAGGGAATTTTCACTTTTCCCCGCCGTGACAGCTTCCCAAGCTATGGAATTTTCACTTTTCCCTCCCTTGGAGGCTCTCCAAGCTGCGGAATTTCAAATAGCTAGACAACGACGCCTAGATAGTCCCCCAAATCCCGTGTTCTTTGAATGTGTTTCCATGTTTTTGCAATGGTTTCCTTCAAAGCACGGTACTTTACACTTTTGTCGCCATAAAACCGGTCGAAAACATCATGTTCGACAATGCTTCCAATTCCCTTATCTCCCCAACCGTTGAAAATACCGCTATTTACAGTGTTTTCTTCAATTTTTCCATGTTCCAATGCCGGTAGCCAACTCCAACATATATATAAGAAATCCTTCCAAAACATTGTTTTTGACAGTGTTTTTCCAATGTTTCCAGTCAAACAGACGGTAATTTACACGTTTTTTGCCATAAAGGCAGTAAATCCTTCCAAAACATTGCTTTTGACAGTGTTTTTGTAATGTTTCCAGTCAAGCATACGGTAATTTACACGTTTTTTGCTATAACGTCAGTCCAAAACACTTGTTTTTGCAGTGTTTTCAATGCTCTGGCATCCAAAAACCCTGCAAAATCTTGCTATGTACAATGTTTTTTTTCATTTTTGGCCGTTTTTCCATTGCCGGAAAGCTACCAAAATGACCCAAAATTCCATTTCAATACCCTCTTGCGCTCAGACACCCAAAAATCCTCGAAAAATGTCGAAAACACCACCGTATTCTGGTCTCGGTGCGAAACCGTTTTTGGGCCCCCCCCAGCTAAAGCTGATATAGCGACTGCTATATTAACAAATGTCATTGAGCATTTAGTGTTGCTGTTTTGCCCCCCAATAAGCACGCCTTCACCGCCAAAGCGGTGTGGGCGGATTTTAATAGGTAGATCATCTTTAAATGGGCAATGTTCCATGGCTATGTTGAATTGCCAAGGCCTTTTTTTGGGTATACACTGTTGGCTGGTTTTCCCAAATAATTTACCCTCTGGTAATTTAACATAGCTATTGAACATGGTCCATTTATAGGTGATTTACCTACTATAGATGGTGATTTTCCATAACTATGTTAAATTACCAGAGGGTATGACTGACTTTCGGATTACTGGGCCAAATATCTCCCCAACATGGGCAGCAAAAAACGAATCGTAGCTCTACTTCTGGAGCCAAGTCAGCAACACACGATCCCCACATGCGAAAACTCTCCCATTTCAGGCCTATAAAAAATAACAAGACACCACATCAAATATGTAAATTGCTACAGCATTTTATCGCCCTATGAAGTTCACCAGAAATTGGGAAGATCTCAAGCGGAGGTACCAAGGGCAAGGCCCTAGGATGAAGCGGAATATCTCATCACATGGTCCGCATTTCCGCGTACATTGTACCTATTTCTCCTTCTGGTAGCTGCGAAACGTTCACCGTATGTATAGACATATTAATTCAATATATCCAAGTCTCGCCGCTTGTGGCTTTTCCTGGCTAGACATATGCAATTTTGAGATATTTTGAGTAAATCACCATCCATCATCATGTTTGTTTCGGCAGTCTATCCATGCTGGGCTAAATCTGGCGGGTTGGTGTAGTCATACACATCCAAACTATTGGGATTACAGTAGTTGGTACAGTAACTACATCATACACTCAGTTGGAGTAATTACCATTCAGCTTAGATACATCACCGCAGAGTTGCATGGTTTGGATTTATATCCCAACTTATAAGGGCGAATTTTATCCTGGTATACCATGTTCATATAGGGTTGTCTGAAAATAGTGGGCCTAAATCTCTCTGGTTGATTATTCATTTTCCCATCAACATGTATTTTTCTTTTGAGGTTTCGACTTTTTTAAAGACACACCCATATCCATCTATAAGACTAACCCCAACTGCACCCCCGCCAGCAATTGGTTGGTTCAAGATGCCACCAGGAGTTGATGATGCGATGCGCAAAGTTCTCCTCTTTGGGCCTCTGAGACCAATACCTTGCTGTGCCGCTCGGTGTTTTGAGAGGAACCGATAACCGGACGTTGGAATGGGGATGTCATGGATTTGGACGCAACAAACATGGGTCACATGGGGGGTTACAAAGTGGTTTATACTGGTTTAAAACCATTTCAAGTCATGTTACCGTTGAAAGCCCAAGCATCCACGCAGCTGCTGAATTGAGTCGGATCCATGTGGGATACTAAAATAGTTTGTGGAAACTTCAAGCTCCAGAAAATTCCACATGAAGATTTTGAAGCTTTGGGAGGCTCCAAATAAGGTATTAAAGCCTCGGAAGGAGGACGTCGACTGAAAAAAGAAACATAATACATAGCTCAGAGGAACCGGGGGTCGACCCCTCTCTCTGAGCTATGTATTGGATTTAGAATAGCATTTTTGTTTCTTGGTCGCCAACTCCTCTCTAACATAAAAGTTTTGATTTCTCTTTCTTTAAAGCACTTGGTTGGAGCAACAAAAAATCCTTCAGGAGTTCAAACATGTGGAAACAAAAGAAGTCTTCCATAACATATATGATGGACAGTTTACCGCACCTGCCCTACAAGGACAAAACTGCATATATAATACATGGGGAAAAAATAAGAAATTAAGAAAAACATGGGCCCAGATAGCGTCATGTGTTGTGAACTTGGACATGTCGGTAATGTGCACTCCAGAGTGTACGGAGGGAAGATCCAACCTCACATTTGTTTTTCTGATTCTCATTCTCAATCAAAGAGGTCATTCAATGTGTGTATAGAACATTCCGCGCAGGTCAATGTGCTTGTCCAGTCATAGCAAATGAACATTCGTGATCTTCAAGTCATGTACAGCTGGACGCTTTTTTCCATTCATATTGCTGTTGGAAGAGGCTCCGTTCCATACAGCTTTCCAAGAGGCGCCAGAAGAAGCACTTGCCCGCACTGCGTGGCAGTTTCAAAGATGGAGTCATCCAGCTGGAACTGCACGGAATCTCAGAAAACAAGTCCCAAGTTGTCATTGGCTGAGTTTTCCACTTGGCGGAAGCTGTCAGATTCCAAGCTGCATTCTCCATGGTCAGTCCAAACTTATCTTGGCCTTCAGCTGCGCCACCGTTTCCAAAACATGAATTCGTCGCTTGTTGGTTTGGGTTTCGTCCCAGCATTTTCCTGGCCCCTGGGCCATTTTCACGGCTTGGTGCAACATCATGATGGTCTCCGCATGGGTGTCGTGTACGACAGCCTGGCCCTGACTTCTCGCAATATACTGGTTGGTTCAAAGGGATTCCTCTATTGGATTGTTAAAGTTAATCCCCAACATATTGGGTAGTATAATCCCCTATAATGTTTCGTCCTGATTTGCGTGTACCCCCCCAAACAATAGATATACTCTCTTTAAAGTTGGGTGCCAAAAAGTTTTTCCCCGGAAAAAATAATCTGCACTTTTGGCTACAATTGAAATCTAATCATTATTTTTTTTGCCGATGAACTTGTGGTATTTGTAGTACTTGTAGTATATACTTGTAGTACTCGTAGTGAGTGGGGTTCAGCATGTTGATTGTGTTTTCTTTTCCACCTTACGTTTTTTTCCTTAATGAAACGTGTAATAATAGAAAGAGAAAGAGAAAGAAACAGAGAAAGGGAACGAGAGAAAGAGAAAGAGAGAGAAAGAGAAAGAGAGAGAGAGAGAGGAAGAGGAACAGAGGAAGAGGAACAGAGGAACAGAGGAACAGAGGAAGAGGAACACAGGAAGAGGAACAGAGGAAGAGGAACAGAGGAAGAGGAACAGAGGAAGAGGAACAAAGGAAGAGGAACAAAGGAAGAGGAACAGAGGGACAGAGGGACAGAGGAAGAGGAACAAAGAGAGAAGAAGAGGAAGAGCAAGAGAAAGAGAAAGGAAAAGATAAAGAGAAAAAGAAATCGAAAGAAAGAAAAAGAACAGGCTGCTTTTGTAAAAGGCTTTTCTTTCTTCTCTTGGCTCCAGGATCAGCTCTGGAAAAAAGTGCTGCAATTGTGAACCCTGAGAACAAACGTACTAAAGTGAATTGGACCCTCTCATGACCCAGTGCCTTGGAAATTCGTGGAAAAGCTGTTCTTTAATAAGGGTTTCAGAAACGGTCTGATTCTTTTGGGAACGGCAGACAAGCACGATTTTTCCAGAAAAAATGTCAGTTTTTTTTTCACTCAAACATTTTGCTCAAACAAAATTTGTCTCCCAAGATTTCTTGGCACAATAGCGAACCTACCAAACAATGCATGGGCTCAGAATAATTTGGAAAAACATGGCACAATAGCGAACCTAGACACTAATCAGGATGCAACATCAACGAACAAGGGTTTTGAACATTGCTCATTTTTTGGTTGGCGAAGAATCCCTCTCATCTCGCCGAAGAGCATAGCAGCATTGATGCTGCTGAGCTTTTGTTCCGTCAGCTTTCGGGCCGCTTGCCGGGCCACCCGCTCCTGTCTTCGAATCTCCTGCGGTCGCGATTCGGAATGAGGGTTTCAAATTCAGTAGAAATATAAGTATATATATACATATAATCAACTTAAGGCAGCTATATCAAGTGCAGTGCATGATAGACCAATCTATGTATAGGATATAAATGTGTATATATTTATATATACACATACATACACGTATAGATAATTGTACAATATTGTACAATGATTAATGTACATATATTTTGAAAATAAATATGCGCAGTTGTACACAGAATCATGCATATACAAACAACTATACATACATACACACAACTTTTTGGTGGTAATCCGCGAGTTAATCAACCCAGTTTTCAGGACTTTACAGTGTACATTTGGGAAAAGGTGTGCCCACAAAAATCTGCCATGAAAGATACTGTGAGGCGGTCTTGCACAACATGATCAGTATGCAACAAAACCTGCACAACTGATTTTGGTCCATGTTGAACCCCAAAGCTGGAATTCGATCTTTTTGTTTCTATTCATTTCAGGTAGATCAACAACATAAAACATTCAGATACCGCGGTGAACACACAACAAGCGCTGGTTATGGATGCTGGTTATGCCGATCCCGAACCCCTTTAACATATGGTCCTGTAAGTTTTGATCTGTTTTCAATTGTTTTCATATATTAGCCAATATGTGCAGATATAGAATAGATACACACACAAAACATACCGCACAAACACAACTGCACATGTCAAACAAACTGTGAACAACGGCCGAAAAAGGTTGGTCCATGCCACTGCGTTCCAACAGAAACCCATCGTTTCCATGGTGCAAAAATCCAGAGGCACACAATGTTTGGGGCCCCCCAGTGATGTTTGTTGGTTTATAAACACCATGAGCTATAGTTATAAATATCATAAACCATAGTTATTACAGTTATTTGCACCAACTTAGCTATTGTTTGAATTGTTTGGGGGCCCCACCTTGCAATCAATCCCACGGGGCCAAGACAACTGTGGCTGTTCCCTAGAAAAAGAGCAGTTGGGATTTACCTACTAATAGCATGGTGATTTACCCAACAAAAACGATGATGATTTTTATGGGATTTTATGGTGATTTTATGGGATTTCAATGGAACCCTCTCTGGCTATGACTAACAGTTTGCCATGGAAAATGGTCTATTTATAGATGCTAAAAACCTGCTAAACATGGTGATTTTCCATGGCTATGTAACAAATAACCAGATGGTAGAGGCAAAATTTTAGTCAGCCTTTCGGGAAATTGGTCACCAATTTTCAGCAAGATTTTCTATGGTTTCAACAAGTTAAATTCCTTTTAATTCACATACTTTCAGGTTTCAACCATGTGAATTTCTTTTAACTCACATAGTTTCAATGATTTCCTATGGTTTAAAACCCTTTAAGTCCCCATTTTTCATAGGAACCCCCTTCCTCCGTGCCCCGGCTCCGTGCGCCTGCGTGACAAAGGTGGCCACCGACGAGATGCCGTGCTCCTCGCTGCGGCGTTGTTGCGCCTGGAAGGGAGGGGGGCGTAGTACAGTGGTGGTCAACCTTGGTTACTTGGTGGCTCATCCCACTTAGTAAGTGGGTTATAACCCCAGTTATGAGTGGATTAACCTTACTTATCCTATTTATAACTGGGGTTATAACCCACTTAATAAGTGGGATGAGCCACCAAGTACACTCTGGTAAACTAACATGGCCATTGAAAATGGCCATTTATGGTTGATTTATCCATTAAAGACGGTGATTTTCCATAGTTATGTTAGTTTGCCAGAGGGTAGATACTTTAGTACTTTAATCTTTTGCTATCAATGGTAAAATAGCTAAAACATACTGTAGATTTCTTGACGGGTATCTACAGGATGGGGCCCCCCAGTGATGCGAACGTTGGTTTAAATTCACCCCATGAAAATTGGAGTAAACAGTACAAAAACCATAGTTATTGGAGTTATCTGCGCCAACTTAGCTATCATTTGGGGGCCCCACATTGTAGAATATGATTTAAAACTTATATAAATATTCTAAGTGCGAGACCACCACAGTAATAATAACAATGATAGTAAAAATATAATTAATGCAACAATGGGACGGGAAAATCTATATAACATGGGATGTGTATATATATATATATGCAACATCACTGGTAAGTGGTATATTCTCTGGAGCAATAAAACCATATTCTCTAATATATGTATCTATATACATATGTAACCATTAAATTCGATGCTTGCAAAAGAGACAATGGGAACTAATGGAATATACATATATATATATACATGGGATATACAACATGGGATATATATATATTTATGTAACACCAATGGTTTACAGATAACTGATGAGTGTTAAAACATTTTGTAACATAACAATATGTGTATATATATTATATGATTATATATGCATATGTATGTAACAAATATCAATATAACATGTTGTTTTTTGATTATGATTTTGATATAGTTTACATAACAACATGCGGGTATATCGTCTAATATAGTTGTGTTTCAGTAGCTGTATGTTGATTGTGAAAAAACATACGTAGTTAAAACACATTGAACTTTTGTATAGTTACGAGTTGGCCACCGAACGTCGAACGTCAGTTTCTGAAGCTTTGTAGATAACTTTGCCAACCAAATACAACCATATGAATAAGGAAAAGAACACATGAAGGCTCTGCCATGGTGAATGGGCACAGCTTGGATGGTTAGTTGTCGGGATTATATAGACTTCAAGCATCACTCTGGGAATGTTTTGTATCTGACAAGAATTTTTACTACATCCTGAGGTTAAAAAAAATAACAGCTTCATATTATAAATGATTTTCCAACCTAATATTCAATTCGCTCCAGAATAGCTATATACCTGTCGCCGAAGAACTGCCAATCTCCTCCACACAGGTTCTCCGGTTCGGGTCTTTTTCACGAAACAAAATGGCTTTCTTACTGATCACAACCTCTTAGAACTAGCCGCAAATCAACCAATTTGGTCCTTTTTTTATTTCACATAGATCACATAGCCATCCATTTTTTCCGGGCAACAGTTAGCAAGGTCCTAAGGTGTTGGGTCCAGCAACCCACCAGCCTGGTGCGGTTCATGGGTCATATTCGAATCCAAACCCAGGGAAATCTTGGACTCTTTGGAGTCCATGGAATGGCCTCGCAGAAGGAGCGGAGCTAAGCACTGCCCCAAGGTGAGTCACTTGCTGCACTCAACATCCACGTGCAAAAAGGACATGCGATACATAGACGTACTATTAGACGGATATAATATGTATATATATATATACATACTGTTTAATGTTTGTTGTGTTTAAGTTTTGTTCCTCTTCGTCTTGTTTTTCTTCTTCTCCTGGTGTCTTTGTTTCATCTTCTGTCATTGAGATGAAACATACAACAGCATATAGATCTAAATATAAACACACATACATGTGTTTGCTGGTGTCCCTGTTTGTTCACGGCTAGATACAAATACAAGTCGAAACATGAAGGTAATTTCAATGACACGTTTGGTCTATTTTGCCCTTCACACATCCAATTTGGGGGCCAGCCTAAAACAAATTCAAGACCGATGTGATACCACTCCGCGCGGAAAAACCTTTGTGGACCTGTTTCTCTGCAAGGGACCCGTTTATGTGGTTGTTGTTCACAGATGTTCGCATCAGCATGGTTTGATGTGTAACTATGTGTAACTGAAAATCCTATCAGTAGCATGCTGTGCAAGTTCATTAACTCATCCCGAACATCACTATTACCCTCTGGTAAACTAACATAACTATGGAAAGTCACCATGCTTTTAATGGGTAAATCAACGAGCTTTCTATGGCCATTTTCAATAGCAAACTGTAAACGTTTACCAGGCCGGGTAATTGGTTTCAAGAGTCCATCCGCCAAATAGTAGGTTTATCATGGGGTTTACTATATGGGCTTGATTGAGTTTTTTGGATCTGCGAAATTCCAATCGATCGTCATCTGCTTGGTGGTATACTTACCCCTCTGAAAAATATGAGTTCGTCAGTTGGGATGATGACATTCCCAATATATGGACAATTAAAAAAATGTTCCAAATCATCAACCAGTCATCACTTTCCATATTACATTCTCAAACACACCCCTATTAGGAGATATCAACAAATTTTGCTGTTTATACATGGATGTGCATCCCACTTAGAAAGGGATTCAAAAGCCATATATAATCCATATACAATATAACTGGGGTTTTGACCCATTTACTAAGTGGGATGGACGGTAAACGGGTCATCTGCGCACATTGAAAGCGGGTCATCTGCGCACATTGCAAACGAGTCATCCGCGCACAGAGAAACCGGGTCATCCGCGCACATAGAGCGGTCATCCGCGCACATTGATGCTGGGTACCAGCCATTTAGGGTTTGGTTGGGGGGGTGGGGGGGGACAAAAGCGTTCATGTTCCTCTGCACACAAAAGCACTGCACCTTGATCGCCTGTCATCTGAAGCACTGCACCTTGAACATAGTCTTGGGCAGGCGCGGGGGGAGGGGACAGTTAAGTCAGATGAGTTGAGTGAAGTTGAGTGAGGAACGCTGAGTGAGATGAGTTGAGTGAGTTCAGTTGTGTGAGATGAATTGAAAGAGTTGAGTTGTGTGAAATGAGTTGAGTCCGAGCGCACGCCGGCAGTCCCCATAGCACGCAGAAGCAGCTCCAGGAGCACCACGTGCTGCTGCCTGCAGAAAGTCACACTCGCACCTGCCACACGAAAGCAGCTCTTGAGTGAGTTGAGTTGTGTGAGTTGTGAGTTGTGTGAGTTGTGTGAGATGAGTTGTGTGAGTTGAGTTGTGAGAGATGAGTTGTGTGAGATGAGTTATGTAAGTTGTGAGAGGAGAGGAGTTGTGTGAGATGAGTTGTGTGCGTTGTGTGAGAGAACTTGGGTGAAGTTGAGCGAGAGGAGGAACAACGGAGGAGGAGAAGGAGGAGAAGGCGCGGAATGCAAACCTAAAAACAAAAACCCCCCACAGAGATGTGAGGAAAAAAACCACACAGTGATGAGTTGTGTGATGATCTAAAGAAAAAACAGCAACAAGAAGAATCATGTTACAGAGAAACAATGACAAAATCACACAAAAGTAACGTGCACAGACGACCAACTTCTGACGTGCACAAACGACCCACTTTTGACGTGCACAGACGACCCCCGAACCTGCACCAATGGTGTCCTTTTGCAAAAGAATAGAGGGGTCGGTTTGTTATACCATGTTCCAGCATATACCTAGTGATTCTTATATCGGAGACACCTCTTTTAATCCACCAACCAGTGGGCAGTGGACATCGGTGGGCTATTCCATATATAACTGGGAGTATGAATACAATGCTCAACGAATACCACTGGTCAATGCGATTAATATAAATGGTAACCTGTTTATAATCCATTCGTATATACATATATATATATATATGTATATATTACACTCCAGTAAATTAACATAGACCCTGCCAGATAGGGGTTGGAAGACTAGTTTCCACTAAAAATTGGTGATTTTCAGAGAGGGTATATATTATTGTACGGCCAGGAACGGGGGTAATTGTGTATATATAATAATATATATATATACACACATCCCAAATGCTCCATGTATTGTATATTTACCTACATTTGGGTGATTAATGGGGTAAATGTAGGTAAGTATTCCATACATGGAGCATATTGATATATGGGTAAATAATCATCATTCACACACCCAAAAAATAAAAAAGTTCGGCTATTTTGGGATAGTTACCCCAATCCTAACCATCATTCCAGTGAGGTGACAGTGAGGTCGTTATAATTTATCCAGATATATTACGTCCTCGGGTTATTTAACATAGTGGAAAACTGTCCATTTATAGATGGTCATATGATGATTTGATTCTTAAAATTGGTGATTTTCGCTACATATAGCATCATATAGCTACGTTAAATAACCAGAGGCTACAATGGTCAACCCGTTCCATCCCTCACGCTCTCAGCTCAGCTACGGTTCTGCTGAAGCTTCGCGCGCTCACTGCTACGCTCGATTGGATGCTCTGGTTGCAACCTCAGGCTGGGCTTGGGATAGAGCGACGGGCGATCGCTAGGGTGATAAAAACCAGCAATCAGCTTCCCGGGATAGTCCTTCAAGTGTAATGATTGGACTATAGTAGTCAATCTAAAATATAGTAGTCAATCTCCAATTGGACTAATATATCATTAGATATTATCAATAGTAGATATACTAATTCGTGATTGGAGATATCATATATCTGGTTATGACTAACAGTTTGCCATGGAAAATCACCATGTTTTTAAGTTCGGTAAAGCATCGTTTTTTCTATGGGCCATGGCATTTTCCATGGCAAACTGTTTTTCACGACCTCACGAAATCGGTGAACATTCCCCAGGAATATCCCGAAAAATCGATGGTTAAAGCTTCACTCTCACTGAAGGCCGAAAATTCCCCATCTAAAAAGGCCAGTAACAAGTGCTGCTTGTGAAAAATCCATCGAAAATCCGTTTTGATGTCGTTTTTCATAGCCTTTTTGATCATTTTTTCCCCATGAAATCACCATTGTCCATGCTGATGTCCCCAATGTTCACTGGTCAACTCCCATTTTCCTCTTCGACACGATCTTCCACGGTATGATCATGACTTTTCGTAACAACCATGGTGAGGATTGGGGAGCCCCGACTTGAGAAACATCCCATACATTGTCAGTTTTCCAGTACATCACTATATTCCATTATATTCCATTATATTCCATTATATTCCACTATATTTCATTATATTCCATTAAATTATATTCCATTATATCACCCCCAATGATATCCCATTTAACATTCCATGGTATCAAATGATATTCCAACGATAGATAGATATATATATATATAGAGATACCATAAATCCATTGACCAAGTCCTGAAACTGCTCAACTGCAGCGCCACGCAACGGCTCATCGTGGAGAACCAGCGGCGAGGCGCGCGGGGCTTCGACGCTTTCGTCGGAACCTTTAAGGCTTGGCGACGGAGTGATGGAGCGATGCCATGGATGAAGAAATGTGGGGGATACCCTCTGGTAAACATACAAACAACTATGGAAAATCACCATTTTTGCATGGGTAAACATACAAACAACTATGGAAAATCACCATTTTTGCATGGGTAACATACAAAAAACGATGGACAATCACCATTTTTTCATGGGTAACATACAAAAAACTATGGAACATCACCGTTTTTTCATGGTTAAATCAACGAACTAAATGGCAATTTTCAATAGCTATGTAAACATTTACCAGAGGGTATATATGTACGGCAATCCCCAAAAAGATAAAACAATATGGAAACCTGGAAAATATGAGGAACATTTTTTTTTCGAAAGACCATCCTGGATACATGTTTCTATCCTTTGGGGGGTTGCTATATATATATATATTATACCTCTGGTAATTTAACATAGCTATTGAAAATGGCCGTGTATAGTTGATTTACCCATTAAACATGATGATTTTCCATAGCTATGTTAGTTTGCCAGAGGGTAATTATATATATATCACCAAATATGGGATGATATCCATGTAACCAACTGTGGGATGATATCAACATGTATGTTTTGTTCAATAACATATCTGCACATGATGATAAACATGGAGAAAAAAAGTGGCAAATTCCACGGATTTTAGCCAAATGTTTTTGGTGGATGTTTTTGTCTTAAATGTGCTGCTAGTTACAGGGAGATAGGTGGGATAGTTCAACAACAATGAAGGGGCTGTCGCTAGTTTGGATACAACTTAAATAACCCTTAGATAAATTGTAGCTATAAATTTAGCAACGTGAACTTGGGTCTTACAACAGTACGGGGATATTGTGGAGTTGACCAACAACAACGGTGAAATGTAGGATGGAACACATGCTCATTAGTGGATGATTGAAACATATGTTTGCTCCATGTTCATTTTGTTTATCTTTACTTAACAATCTCTGTCATTTGCAAATCCTCCAGTCTGCTGGGGACAGTGCCGAAGAGGAAACAGTTGTACCCTTGTTCTTTCTCTGCAAGCGAAACACTCCGTGCATCTGCGGCGGAAAAACAAGAACAAACGGCCGTTTCGAAAAACGGCCAACCATGACCTTGCACAAAATGACCAACCGTTTCGAACAAAGGCAAAGTCGCCTCGGGTTTTTCCAAGGCCAAACGTTTGGCTGGACAGTTAACCCAGAGGACCCAATCGCCTCTTTGCTGTGGCCCAAAGAATTGGATCAATTGATCAGTGGCCCAGTGGCATTTGCAATCATTTGTGGATCCTAATCACATGTGTATATATATATATATATTTATATTTCTATTCATATTTACACTATACTCATATATATATATATATATTGTATATAAATATGTATCATGATACTAAATAATCATGTAGAACTATATCTATATATGGCATATCCATCGGAAAAAAAATAAACTGCACGAGACCAAGGAACCTTGGCTGGGCCAGTGACCCACGCCATCAGCAATGACCTGCGCCGTAAACTCTCCATGTTTTCCGTTGGATTTCACTACATCTTATCTTTTGGTGGGTGTTACCATGTATGTATGCATGTATGTATTATATGTATGTATGGATGGATGATGGATGGATGGATGGACGTATGCATGTATGCATGTATTATATGTACATAATCTATAGTCTTGTTTTATCCAAATATACATAAAGGACCCGGCAATCTTGGACATAGGTGATGTCACTTTATAGAGGTTCTAATGTCTTCTATGATGCTTCACCATGCACCGATGACGCTGCGAGCTTTCGGCCTTTTGGAGTTGTTGATTCAGATTCTCCAAGAGATCGCCTGCCCAGGGCATCACAGAAAAAAAATCACACCAATGATGCGGAGTCATAAGAGTGTTTACTAAGGAAAATGATGGATTACCCTCTGGTAAACTAACATAGCTATTGAAAATCACCATTTTTAATGGGAAAATCCACTATTAATGGTCATTTTCAATAGCTACGTTAAATTACCAGAGGGTAATTGAATTTCATATGCATTATGATACGTCATGATACGTCTATATAATGGTTAGTGATTATAATGATGGTTAATTGTGATTAATAATTGTGATTAATGATTGTGATTAATGATGAAAAATGATGATTCATGATGCACTATTAAAACTCGTCACTTTATAATTTTAGCACTAAATGATACTGAGGAAAATGAGTGTTCACTAGGAAACATGGATGAATGGGAGAATATGTACAATGTACAATATATTGATATATGAAAGGTTTACATATTTATCTATCATCATGATATTCATGTGGTAAAGTCAGTGCGGGTGATGTAAAATAGCAAAATTTTATGTCTGGCTACTGGGATGGTTTCTTATTAACCAAAATTAGGTTACCAAACGAGTCACATTTGTACCTGAATGGTTCCGAAAAGTAAACAAAAACCTTTCGTCCTTTCGTATCTTAAGGAACAAAACTGAATAGGTGTCCGGTCTCATGTTAGTGTTTTGCACAGCTGGGGAATTTTTACGCGACGAATCCTCCTCTGCGGCGAGTTCCGATGAAAACTTGCTGCGATGGGAGGCTAGGAGTTTTAACTGTTGCGCCTGCAGTTATTGCGCTTCAGATCTTTTGACAACGAACAAGATCGGTCATTTGTTCCTTCCTCTTTAGTAATCCTATCCCACCGATATCAAATACTCTCCCAAATGGGCCCCTTTTTTTCATAGATCCAATTCATTGCGCCATGGTTTTGTTTTTGGACGGGTTCTTTACTGATTATCATCCAGAATAATGCAAACCAATGTATAGAGTCATCATCCGTGGGTTAGTACAGCAACTATTGACAATGCCACGTTCATAGTTGAAACATGTTGAAAAGTCATCAGTTATCAAATGTTAACTATCTGCCCATTGATAGTAACTACTATAGCTAATTACTATTCTATATCACTTTTTTAAAACATAAAGTTCATGATTGTAGAACTGGCTGGTTCTTGGAGATTCCCCTGGATAAAACATCATTGCCAGTTTTTTTTGGTGATTGAAATCCCCAATGGATGCAACAATTGTGGTTGATGAGTTTCACCATTGGCAGCTTGTTGGTATGATGAATAGTAACATTAATTACTATAGTTATAGTCAGTTATAGTCAGTTATAGTTACTAAAACATAGTGTATACACTACCCACTGTCCTCATCATCGTTCATCATCGCATGCTTTTCAACACTTTTTCACTTCGCTATAGTGCATCTTTGAAAAACTACTTCAGAAAAGCAACCTTTTTTCACCCATCGAGTTCGGTAAATCCCTGGCATGCTGTGACGACCTCAATGTGGATTCCGTGAGTCCAACCCGCCGACCTTGACTGGTGAAGTGCGATTCCATCCGTTGAAGGATCTCATGAAATGGGTCTTGCTCCGCCTCACCGGTCGGCGAAGCTGAAGAGACCAAGGCGAATAGTGGAGCGATGGGTGGACCGCTTGGCACGAATGATGCAGATGTTTTATCCCTTAGAACCGCCATGAAAAACACCATTTTTAGCCGGATTTCACGTTTCTATCGTTTTTTGGGGTTGCGAAAAATCATTCCCGGTGTTCAATCTCTGTCCGAAAAAGGGATTGTTTCAACCAGCTGGATATGCCATTGTTTTTTCCCACTCTTTTCCTATGTTGTTGGAAACTGATGGAAACTGTAGCAGATAATCCTCTGTTTCTTTGACATCTCCCCTCATCTGCTCGTGAATCCTCGTGAATCAGCTAGCCCAGTTCAGCTGGTTCCATCCATTTGTTGATGAATCCGCTGAAAATTTACCTGGTGTGAAATTAGCAACCCAAATAAATAGAAGTAGAATCCTACGAAAACATACTAACAAGTTGTCTTCCATAGGTCCATAAGTATAATTCTAGAGATTGAGCGAGGTTTATGTGTTTTTGGGCTTATTATGGCTTACTAGATAGTATCGTGGTCTATAAATAAGACTATAGCACACTATAGCTGACTATTTAAGAATCCTAACTGTGGCTTACTATATTCTTCATTATGGTTGATTTTACAAAATTATAAACAACTATTCCCTATAGATTCCCCATTTGTAGTGGATCTATCATTGAAAAAAAAACACATCTTCACCAAATCCGGCATTATTGATACGTAGTTCACCAGCCATTGTTCCTGTGATGTTCCACAATGTCCTTAAAAAGTCAACCGCCACTCTTGGACTTACTTGAATTACTTATATAAATAGATGGAAAAAGTAAAAAACATCCTATACTAAAACAGTAGTTCCATGATTTTCCATGGTATTCTATGAATTTCCATACGTTTTTCCACGGAATTTCACAGGTTCCATATTTTTTTGGGGCTTACTGCTGCCTCGCCCATCATCAGGTCGCCTCGCCTGTGGCTCCTTGTCAATTTTCGAGGTGGCCATGGCGCTCACAGTGAAGGCATGAAAGCAATGGTGTATCGATGCTTAATAGTGGTTAATATCCATTCATAATCAGTGGGGATTAATATGGATTAACATGAATTAGCGTGGATTAATATGGATTAATACGGATGAATATGGATTAATATGGATTGATATGGATTAATATGGATTAACAAGGATTAACATGGATTAATATGAATTAATAGTGGTTAATAGTGGTTACCAAATGGGTTACCACATGTGACTATTTTTTAGATAATCATGATTAATTGCTGGCTAATTGCAATTATAATTGCTTAAAAGTGGTTAATACGGTCATAGAGCAATGATTTTCAAGGAAACATATATATGTATATATATATATATATCCGCCGACCCCGGCCGACAGCAAGGGGAGGTGCGCCAGGGAAGAATATCCATCTCTATAGTTGTATAATTATAATTGTATCATTGCAGGAAAACCATTGCTAAAACGTCAATGTGCGAGGTTTTCTTGCAATTTTCCCCACCAGTCCTAGCCGCTAGCCTAGCCGTTGGTTTCTCATTTTGTGGCAAAACAGTGGCAATCAATATCTTTCCATCCCACAACGGAGGTATGAACATGTATTTTCATCAACGAAGAGGAGAGAAATAACAACAACACGGGATTGAACCAACACTCAAACATACTATATAAAACTTAAATAAATGGATCAAGGATTGAATCAAGGATTGAATCAAGGATTAACCAAACATAATACATACTATATAACTTAAACAAATGAATCAAGGATTTTTCAACAACAGTCAGAGAAACAGGGACCCCTTGGCCTTGTTTTCTCTGGATGATCTCTCTGGCTATCTGAATGGAGTTTGAATTCAACCAATTGATTGTGATGGCTTATACATATGTATATATGTACATATATATATATGTACATATATGTATATATATATATATGTATATATGTATATATATATATATGTATAGAGATAGATATTGCTATGCAGCGTATAAATGAGCCCTCATAATCCAAATAAACTAAACTCCTGGAAGAAACGTTGGTCATTGCAATCCCACTTCTATCTGGGATGCGGGCCGATTGGCCCGAAATCATGGCTGAGAGGTGCCTTTTTCATGCGCGAAGCCACTGTTTCTGGTCGCTGCGTACGTGAAACACCTGGCCACAGGAGCACATGGGTGATCTCTGTCATTCAACTTAGAATATGTCATGGGATATATATATAACATATCCACCATCACGACGTATAATGTATGTACACACATATATATATATATATTCATTATATATATATATACATATGTATATGTATATGTATAGATCATATAATGTTACGGATCATCAAATTTCAGGGATTATTCTAGTTCAACCACATGTTTTCGGCACCATCGTGGCGTCCCCGCCTGGCAGCTGTTAGCTGCTCTTGAAGTCTCCCTTAAAGCTGGAAGTGAAATGAACTTCTCTTGCGAACCTGGCGACAGGACCAGGACCTCCGATAGGACCGGACCAGGGACCAACCGGCTCCCATTGGTCCATGGAAAAGGTGAAAAAATTGTATCCCCTGGACATCCCGATCTGGATGGGAAAGCCCCACGGTGAACCATGGCAAAGCGTCATGGTTCACCGTGCTGTTCACCAAAAACATCCAAAAACATGAGGGGCTGGTAGGTGAGGGATGACATCAAAGTACAGCAATTGCCCAAGTTAATCCAATTGATAAGTTCGGTTTATATTCCCATCCAACCACAGATACATCCACCATAAATCCTAGCTATATACTTTATAACTTGAACCAACGTTTGGCGACCCCTCCCTGTATGTCTCAAAGATCTGAGGGTCGGGTGATTCTTCACCCATGCTTTAAGTGTTTGCTGAAACCCAAAGGGTTGAAGATTTAACCCGCATGGTCGCTGTTTACAAGAGTTTGATTATTTCATATCCGCACTTTGGCTATGTTTAGCTGGCTATATTCCTCATTTTTGCCGCTTTGTATCCTTCTTCTTGATGATTTATGCTTCAAGACCCCATTTTCTCATGGATTTCGCTATTCATCACAGTGTTCAGGGTTTCAGCTGCTCATATTCCACCAGACCGTCGTTGAAGATCCCAACTTTTGGGACCCAACTTGACGTCTGGGTCAGTTGTCAACTCCTCAAGTCTTCATTGGGAAAGTATCCAATTTGAACCAAGAAATCAACAATTCTTGGTTGCGAAATTTCAATGACCACAAACAAAGAAAAAATAATCCCACGAAAGATGATTGGTGGCAAAAAACAAAAAAACACCAACCAAAAAAAAACAAGACGATTGGTGGCAAATCAGAAAAACACTTTATAGGAAGCGAATCCCACGAAAGATGTGCAGTGAATAGCCATGGTTTCTTCAGCAAGTTGTAAGTGGATGTAAATGGCATGTTTACTCCACTTTTAAAAATGCGTGTTGTGGTCACCACGATTCTTGTGTCGGGCGCTCTCTCACCCTAGATTTGTGTTGATTCAATTCCAATTTTCCATGGTTAATATCCATATCATGGAAAATCAATGGATATTAACCATGGAAAATTGGAATCCATGAATTATTCCAATTTCTATGTTGACATCATTTTTGATGGGTTTTTATCACATATCATGGATTCCCCATTGGATGCACCGAGCTTCAACATGGATTTCCATATGGAAACCAAAACACGTGGGTGGGGTCTAGATATCTCCGGATGATGAAGAACTCCGACATATGTTTTTTTGGGCGATATGGGCATCTATTGATGTGGTTTTTGGGCGTAAATTTTCCTTTCAGAAATAGGGGGCGTAGATGGGTTTCACCTATGGGTTTCATTGAAATTCAGAGGAATGGCCACCCATGTTTGGAAAAATGCCACATCTTTCATCTCTGCCATGGTCCAAACATGATAAATGGGCTATAATGGGCTATGGTCATCCATCCCATGCCATGGGAATCCAAAATGGGTATGGTAAACTTGCTATGGATTGATGACGTCTCTCAAAAACTAAGCTTTGACCATGGCACTTTCTTTAATCCCTATCATATCCCTATCTTAATCCCTATCCTTTGACCATGGTCACTGCATCTATCCCTAAAAAATATCCCCAGATCGGTAAAATCTCCTATGTTTGATCATCTTGGTTCCGTCAAATCCGTCAAATCCCCAGATCTTGTTCTCGGTTCATCAACCAGGTGGGTTTCTCTGTAAATGTGGTACCCCAAGGTCCCCCCAAATCCAAGGGATTTTTTAGCCGAATTTTCCCAATTCAATGACCATTTGGGGTCCTCATTTTCAGACAAAGCCATTTTCTGGTTGGTTATTTGGGGTTAATATATGGTTATTATATGGTTATTATATGGTTATTATATGGTTAATGATGGCTAATAATAATCTGATTGGTGGTTTTTCGCCACCTACCCCTCTGAAAAATGATGGAGTGAACGTCAGTTGGGCTTAAAAATATGAGTTCGTCAGTTGGGCTTATGACATTCCCAATATACATGGGAAAATCATCCAGTCATGTTCCAGTCACCAACCAGCCATGATATTTCTCACCTGGCATCCTAAGATCCTGTAAGATCCTATGATTTCCCCTTGCGGGAACCGTGCTCACCTGGCATTGGCCGGCGTAAAGCACCACCCGCCCGGCAGGGCATCTTCCTGAACGAAGGGCGTAAGGGGTGCGGCAGCGCGCGAGGCCATGAGGCGATGTCGGAAAATTCATCGCGATTTAAGCCATCAACAAATGGGGGTTGCTCTATATATATACATATATATATATTATGTATATATTATGTAAATATAAATATATATATACATATACATGTATATATGTATATATCACCAACTATGGGATGACATCTATACAACCGACTGTGGGATGAAATCAACAGGCTATTTTTTGGGTTACCAGCAAATGACGATATAAATAAGAATTTCAGGGGCAATACGGCAATACATGGAATTTACACAATTTGGGTATGTCTAAAAATAAACGTTCCTTTTTCCTAATTCGCATGTCTAAAAATTGGGTGTATCCAAAAAAATAGCAGTCTTAATAGGGAACATGATCATAAACAATCAATTGTTTCGGGGGTGCCCTAATTTTTAGACAAACCCATTTGCAAACATTGTAATTAGCAAGAACATCGCGCTTCCAATCAAATGGTGGTGCAAGCCAACAAACACTGGGATGTGGCTGAGGAATTCGACATGGAGCCAGAATTTCCATGTCCATAGAGGCTCAGCACAGATGAGGCATAGACCCATACGTGGCGCCTTCGTCATCCCTGTCATCCAATGCAACTTTGGTTCACTGTCAGTGAAACCGGTGGGATAGCCACCTGCACAGCCACCAGCTGCACCACGTGCCCAGGTGTACTGTCAGTCAAACGGTCCGGTGGGATAACCACCTGCACAGCCACCAGCTGCACCACTTCGCCTTCAGCTTGGGCTGGTGTTCGTCTTGGTGCGGCTGTCCTGGGCTTTCGTCACCAGCTTGGCAATTGGGTCTTGTGCTGCTTGGTGTTCGCCGCTTCCAGACCTCCGTGACGCTGCCCGCTGCAGTTGCGGTGGTGATGCTCAGCCAGCCAGCCTAAGGACAATGGAAAAGACATGAAAAGATGGTACCCTCTGGGTAATTTAACATAGCTATGGAAAATCACCATGTATAGTGGATTTTCCCATGAAAAATTGTGATTTTCCATAGTTATGTTAGTTTACCAGAGGGTAACATCACAAGGCCCTTCAATTCGTTTGGCCTTGAGAACGCATCACTTGTATCCTGTCCTTTGCAAATCATCATCAAAAGCAATTTTTTTAGGACACCGAAAAACATACTGCAAGGATAAAACCTTGGATCCCGACCACATGACTTGCATGTGTTTGGGGTTGTTGACCTGGTGACCTTTTCACCGACAACAGGACTATCCACACCACTTTGTCTCTTGATCCAACAAAAAGTTGGCAATTTCCATCCTGGAAAATCCTCGAACATTCTGGAAAATCATGGACATGGATGGACACAAACACCATGCCCTTCAACTGAATTGATCTTTCGCCGTCGTTAACACCCCCAACAGTGCGGCAAGTTCAAACCATGTAGGGCCATTTACATCATTCCAAAGAGGGGTATACCAGCAAGAGAACATTGCTGGGAATGTGACTAATATATGGCAGTGTGTCAAAACCTTGTACCCCTGTAGTTCACATCAAAATAGCTGGGATTCATGGATGTTCATCCCATTAAAAATGGTATTTTCATAGGTATTGATCCATAGCCATATATATATATATATATAATTCATGCGTATGTTGATGGATGTCTCCATAGCTATGCAACTGCAACTGCTTGAATCGATGTTGGACAGTGGGCAGCTAGCGGCTACCACCCATGACTGGGAATGGCATCCACCTATAATGCTGATGACTGAGGGATGGTTGGATTATGGCATCGTTTTACCCAGTTATAAGTTTGTTTATAAACCCCATGAAAACTATAGTTATATATAAGATCTTATTTGCGTATAATTTATTCCATAGTTAGTGTTGGTTTAAAGTTTAAAGCAACCACATTGTAGGTGTCGCATTTTGCAACTCCCGTTGCAAGTCACGTATTGCGACCCCTGGGGCCCTGGGGCCCCAAGCCCCTCGCATCCAAGCAGGTCGATCGCCGTTGATCCTCAGGTGGAAGTCCATCTTCAAAATGCTAGGGATAGGTTGTATAGGTACAAGTTATCACTGTTTGTCACTAATTATCACTATTTATCACTTATTATCACTGTTTCTCAGTATTTATCGCTATTTATCACTGTTTCTCAGTATTTATCGCTATTTATCAATGTTTCTCAGTATTTATCGCTATTTATCACTGTTTCTCAGTGTTTATCACGGTTTTTCAGTATTTATCGCTAATTATCACTATTTAACAATATTATATACCACTATTTATCACTGTTTATCAGTATTTATCACTAATGATCACTATTTATCACTTATTGTCACTGTTTCTCAGTATTTATCGCTATTTATCACTGTTTCTCAGTATTTATCGCTATTTATCACTGTTTCTCAGTATTTATCACGGTTTTTCAGTATTTATCACTAATTTTCACTATTTAACAATATTTATCATTATTTATCAATGTTTATCAGTATTTATCACTAATTATCACTATTTAACAATATTTATCACTAATTATCACTATTTAACAATATTTATCACTATTTATCACTGTTTCTCAGTATTTATCGCTATTTATCACTGTTTCTCAGTATTTATCACGGTTTTTCAGTATTTATCACTAATTATCACTATTTAACAATATTTATCACTATTTATCACTGTTTATCAGTATTTATCACTAATGATCACTATTTAACAATATTTATCACTATTTATCACTGTTTATCAGTATTTATCACTGTTTCTCAGTATTTATCACGGTTTTTCAGTATTTATCACTACTTATCACTATTGAACAATACTTATCACTAATTATCACTATTTAACAATATTCATCACTATTTATCACTGTTTATCAGTATTTATCACTGTTTCTCACTATTTATGACTATTTTTTCACTAGTTATCACTGTTTCTCAGTATTTATCACTTATTATCACTGTTTCTCAGTATTTATCACTGTTTCTCAGTATTTATCACGGTTTTTCAGTATTTATCACTGTTTGTCACTATTTATCACTGTTTCTCAGTATTTATCACTGTTTCTCAGTATTTATCATTAATTATTAGTATTGCAGAATCAGATTTTGGCAACTTCTATCCTTTTTGGATGACTGTATACGACAAAAGTACTTCATCAGCAACTGAGATTTTACGACGTATGGAAGGATTTGAAGGGAACTCTTTTGCCCAACTATTCACAACCAGAACGTGATACATACATATATATATATTTGTATATATTTATTTATTTACTTATATGTGTATATTTTATTACATATCAGATATATTTATGTATATTGTATTACTTATCACTATTGGATAGGTACAAGTTATCACTATAGTAAGTCACTATTTATCACAAGTTATCACTATTGCAGAATCAGAGTTTGGCAACTTCTATCCTTGTTGGATGACTACTATATACGACAAAAGTATTTCATCAGCAGATTGGACATGGATGGAAATGGTCCATGAAAATTCTGTGATTCCCACTGCCACTCAACAAATATCAGCATACAAACAACACAACTCAGCCTTGGGTGCTTGGTGCAAAGTGCAAAGCCATTTGTCTCCAACATTGGAGTGGCATGTTGCTTCGTATGTGGGCCATATCCGTACGATCCCTGGTACTGAAATATTGATCTACACCGATCATCATTTCATTTTGGTAATGGCTATCATCTTGGATAAGAAAACAGTAATTAATTAGTTGGTTTGCTCCTCTATGGCCAAACAAATGACACGCATTCAGGAATCAAATGGGTATGTCTGAAAATGGGGTATACCCCCAATTATAGCCATTTAGTAGGGATAATGATCATTAACCATTGGGTGTAGGGGTACACTATTTTCAGACAAACCCAAATGCGTGTAACGTAGATACACTTGCTGGTCCCATGCATGGATTTAATGCCATGGTTTATGATTTGCCAAGGAAGACCGTCTGATTTCTTCGTTGGGACAAACTTGTGGTACCGTGGTTTTCGCGCCAAAACAGTACATCTACATTGCGTTAATATAGCTGCAGGTTTATGGATTGTATCTCATTATACATATTGGTTGGTACATGGATATCCCTATTACATCCTATTATGATTGTTATGAGTAACAGTATGATAATCCCCAATAAACTTATTAGGTTCCGACACCCAACAAATTAACCAATTAACCAGCATATATCAACAATATCCCCATGAGTTTGATAATTAAGTCACCAATTCAAACGTTTTTTTTCCATATATCATAGTACTTTTTTCGATGGCGAAATCATGTTAAGTCATCATTTACCCTCTGGTAAACTAACATAACAATGGAAAATCACCATTTTTAATGGGAAAATCCACTATACATGGCCATTTTCAATAGCTATGTTAAATTACCAGAGGGTAAGTCATCATTTATCAATGATCTCTCCAAAAAAAAATCCTCAGTTATCCCATGAAATCCCCGTGAAAAACTTCACGAAAATCGAACATCATAAATTCCCATGAGTATTCATCCCAAATGCTCCATGGTGCTGGAATATTTACCTACAAAACTGGGCAATTTTTAGGGTACATGTAGGTACATATGCCATACATGGAGCATCTGGGCATGAAAATCTCCTCAAATCCCCGTTATATCATGTATCCCATGAAATCATATGTAAAATCCCGCATTTTCGATCGCTCAGCGGCTGCGTTCGCAGGAAGGACGGTTTCTTCGTGTGCCTATGGCGGAAGATTGAAAATCCCACGTGAAGCGTGAAGGGGTGGGGGGTGATGCTATACCAGTACTATCCGTAAATGGAAAGAATGAACAGTAATCTCTACAGCAATTTAGTGATTCCCCTCACAAGATAGATTCTAGCAAAATGTGATTCTAAAATAGTGATACAGTTAACCTGTTCTATCTTTATTTTTTTGGTGGTTGGGCTGCTATACATGTATCTGCATCTAGGATTCCAAGAGATGTACCTGAAAAAATATATGCATGTTCACTGTAAACGATTGCTGTCTTACTTAAATACATGAAATGGACAACATCTGGGAAAGGTGTGAATGGTTGATAGTGATCCCTGAATATAGCACAATCGGCATGGCGCCTGGTTACCCGGCGGTTACCCGACGTAAAACATATTGATGATTGTAATAACAATCCATTCCACAGGTCATAGCTGCCATAGCTTTTCAAATTGGATGAGTCATATATGTGCATATGAAAAAAATCTGTTTATAAAATTACCCAAAACATGTCATTTCGCCGCCCTTTCGTGAACCTTTCAGGCGCTTTCGCGCCAAAGCAGAATAGGGACAGGGATGTGTTATCACGTGTTCGTTCGTATGTTCCTTATCTCTCATATTATTTTCAAAAATCAAAATGGACATCCATACATAGGTTCCTAGATACATGGTAAATATGCAAACCCAGTTGCATGGAGTGAACCCGCGTAGAAGGCGGTAAAAAAATGCCAAAATCATCACAAGAAACCTCCATTGTTCCAGTAAATCACCAACTGGTTAAATATGTATACATATCTGTATATGTATATATATATATATTAATACATATGTAAACATACATATTCATACTGTATGTAAATAGATCTAAGATATATGTATGATTATATATGATGCTTCTTAGAAAAATCAAAACAAATATGGAACGTATGTTTTTTTTGCAGGTACACAATGTTTTTTCATATCATATCTGTTACTTTGCCGTCCCAACATGCTCCATGGTGTTGGAATATGGTCTAACACTCACACCAAAAATCACCCAGTTGGGTTGGTATATATATATAATGATATATATATATATGTGTATGACTAATTACTTTTTTAGAATATGATTACTTGTCTACCGAAAAAGTAACCCAGCAAATGGGCTAGGGTAAATTTTCGTATATTGACTACACTTAGGTATTTTAGCATAATTAGCCAAGGAAAATGTCCCATTTACATACTAATTCCCTATTAAACATGGTCAGTGATATTCCATAACCAATGTTAAGTTACACAGAATATATTCCATTGATTGAGTTCATTATTATCATTGTGATTCATTAGCCCATGAAAAATATCACATCATTCTCCAATCAAAGGACTTAAACTGACCACTTCTCTGTTCCTGTTACGGTATCTTCTGAGTTCCCCAAACCCCAAACGAGCAGTGCTGCAGCCAGCAATGGGATAGCTACGCAGCCTCACAACTAGGGATCACCATCCCTAAAAATCCGAAGGGCGAAGTGACGACGGGGGGAATTAAAAAAAACCTACACTAATATATATAGCAACAATAAAGGGTATATATATGGGTGTTACTGAAAATGTTGTGTACCCTTAAACCCAATGGTTTTGCTGATCATTATCCCTATTAAATGGTTATTTCATTGGGAATATACCCTATTTTGAGACACATCCATATATATATATATATCATTTAATATCACCTACACGGAACTGGGAGATTATCATAGATGATCACCGAAATTCAGAAAACGGCTAAAGAAACTATGAAACACAGGGTTTGAAGAACATATTTCAGCGACCAAAAAAACATAATATCTGTGTACAGTGGTGTGCAATATGTCACAATATATCACAATATATCACAATATATCACAACATATCACCAAAAGAAAGTAACACTTGAGTGACGACTCCACGAAACATTTGGTCAATAGCCATCAAAAGTTCATAACTTCATAATGAACGGAAAAAAACCTTGAGAGAACTCGACTGATTTTGGTACGTCAAACAGGGGCACCGATGAACCCACCAAATTGGGTCCATTTTTGCGGGTTGTGACCCATACTTCCCTTGATGTCACACCCGCTGATTGATGTGACCCACAAATGAATAGATCCATCTTCTACCAACCCTGGGTTTCTGGTGGGAGTCATGATTCAGAAGGAAAAGATGATATGGTGTATTGGAACGCATGACAAATAATGATACCACATATTTATTTTTTGCACGTTTCAAACAACCCACGCCCGATCAACACTTTTGCTGATGGTTCCAAGAACCCATGATTGTTCACACCATCTTTTCAAAGGTCGTTATAAATTTTAATAATAAATCAAATTCACCCAAATGAACAAATTCAAATGTCAAATGTGTTCCTCATTGGTTAGTTGCATCTCGAAAATGCATCCAGGAAAGACAACTGTCGGGATGTAATTTTGGCGCCCGGGACAGTCCGAAATATATTTTCAATTTCAATGAACATGTTCAAACTACCTTCTGGCAATGTTTATCAATTACGGCAAATCATGTGTAAATGGAAATTGTTTCACAGATTAAACAGCCCAGAACAACCAGCAAACAGCGCTTGTTTCTTGAGCCATAACATAACGTAGGTAAATGAATTAACATAGTATGTACAGGGGTATTCATGTTAAACACCCCCCGCCGTCCGCAGTTTAGCGGAGGCCGGAAGCAGCAGCCCGCCAGAGGTGACCTGAGAGCGGGCAAACACAGACATCACTGTACATACAACTACCTAGTGTTATGCGAAAATGGTCATAGAGGCAAAAGGTGTTCGGATGCATCTTCTTTTCAATTCAGGCACGGCACATGTTTGACAGAGGCAAAAGTGAAGTTGGCCTGGCTTCCGCCAAGGCATAGGAACATTACCATTCCTTTCATTTGCCCTTGGTTCGGAAACTACTGTATCAGGCTAACCTACACGGCATCTGTACACGTGCAACTACCGCAATGGATCGGATGCTGGTGTCAATCTCTTTTGAATCAATCGGGAAAGTTTTCAAGTTAATCAAGTTGGATTTTTCAAGTTTAGAAATGTGTGCAATTCGATTGAACTGAATGACCACGGGTCAGCTTTCATCCAATCGGCCAAACCTTCCGGTAGGCATAAAATCATGGCAAAAGATGTGAAACATCTACCACGACTCATAATCTACCGTCCCATCATTGTAGGTGCGCTTGAAGTGCGGCTGGCCGTTGATCTCACAGTACTCCTCAGCAATCACAACTGGTGCACGAGGTACCTGTCGTGGAGGCTCTGCTGCAGGAGCTGATCCAGAGGCTGCTTGGGCAGGATCGCCAGCAGAAGGAGCAGTGTCAGGCACAGGCGTTGCTGTTGAAGGTGGCTGCATTGGCTCAGGAGGAGCTGCCGAGGAGCTTGATGCTGTAGATCTTCCCCAAGGATCAGCCGTCCAACCTCTGCCAGAGTAGCCCTGATTCCAATTCCAGCTTTGCCATTGGGCCTGCCCTCCCGAGCGGCTTGGGTAAGATCCATATGAATCCCACTGTTGCCGTCGGCTCCATCCACTGCGACACTCAAAGGATTTGTGGCCATACTGACCGCACTTCCAGCACTCAATGGCCTGCTGAAAGATTGGACGCTGTTGTTGACCATAGCCCTTGCCTTTGCCCTTGGCTGGCTTCTGAATCGGGTCAAAATGACGCCGGTATCCTTCTCGCCCTTCGCCAGTACCCGTCTTGGAGGACCTTGCCAATGGAAACTCAGCCACATCTGAGGCAGTGGCTTCATCCACGAAGGAGTGTTCTTCACCCTTGATGTTATTGTATTGTTCCTTCCACTGCCTCTTCGCAAAATCGACAAGGTCGAAGAAACAATCTTGGGCTGACCCTTGATCCACAGGCATCATGGAGCCAGACCAACCAAATAACATCGGCGTGGGTTCCCCCCTCGCTTTCAGCAAGTCCGCAGCAAGAACAGCAAATTGTGGGAGTGTAAAAACTCGTGCATGATGTGCAACCATGGCTTCCTTGGTAACGTCCAACGGGAGTCGGATGTCTCTGTTGAAGTCTGGCATGAAAATCAAACGAGTGCTGACACCTGTTCCCAGCTGCTTTTCTCGCTTCTCTCGGGTACGGCCGACATCAGGGGCAATGCATTTTGCCAAATCCTCCAAAAATTGGCAACAGTCGGGGGTAATCTGGCCGACCGCATTGTTGAACAAATAAAATGGGTCCTTCTCCATGCGGTCCTGGATCGATTTGAAGCCGAGCTTTGTGTATCTTCCCGCATGTGTTTGAGCAGCGTCCTTGAGATTTCCGAAATTGCTTCGTCCAGCTCGACGTTGATCTGCTCGGGTGCGGTCGGAGACTCGCTGAGCTCGAGGCTGCTTCTCAAAATCGATTTTGTCCAGAGAAAACACCTTGTTGGTCTTCTTGGCCGAGATTTCCATCCGGCATACCTCTGTCGCAATCCTTCCATCCGACCAAGCAATCAGCCATTTGAAGCACGACTGACACTTGTGGGTGCCCTCAATGTTCAACTCGCCGCAGAAGTGGCATCGAACCTGCTGCATCTCAATCTTTGAGCTGTAGATGTAATCCTCAGCATTGGTTGAGCGCTGGGCCTGCCCTCCCGGGCGGCTTCCTTTCCCTTTGCCTTTTCCTCGGCCCTTGCCTTTGCGAATGGTTTCGGCATTGGACAAGGCTCCAAAGGAGGCCATCTTCAACGTCACTTTGTCCTCAAAGGGTCCTGAAGTTCCTTCACGTCGACGAAGAAGTGGGGGAAGCTCTTCCGGAGAATCGGTCACCTGCATCTGGCCAGGTCGGATGGACTTGCCGCTCATGAGGTAGGCCTTCAAACTGTCCCTTGCGTTGGCATACGGGCTCTTTGACAGTGCCTCTCTCTTCGGAGTGTCCTGGTCCCGGTGGGTCTTCATTTTGTTGTTGTACCCCACACGCGTGATCTCGTAGGGGCGATTTACCCAGGCAAACTCCCTGTTGACAGCATCATAGGTGCATATGATGTTCTCGTTGGAGATCCAGTCAGGGCTAATGATTGCTTCGTCTGTACGAAACAATCGGCAGCCGCTTTGGACGATGAGCTCGGTGTCAAAGGCAATATAGTATTGCTTCCCGGCTCGCGTTCCCGCCAGCTTTCTGCCACCAACTGAATCATCCCATGGATGTGACGCAATAAAGAAATTATGCGCCCTTCCTGTTCTTTGGGGCCAGCCACCTGGGATGAGGCCGTGTTCAACTATCTTGTCCATAGCGAGCCTGTCGCAGCTATGGTAGATAACCCTTGGAAGTGCAGCCAGCATCTCAGGAACAAGGTCCGGACGAAGGTTTGTCCTGGGCAACTTGGGCGTGTCGAGGTCGGCCTTGGTAAAGGTTGGATCCAAAGTAAACACTTCCTTCACCAGCGATGAAATTTTGGCATTTTCCACCACTGCACGGTTGTGTCCTTGGACAGCTCTGATGGCGATAACCTTCCATGGCAAACCCTTCCAGGTTGCATCAGGCAAATCGGGCTGAGCCACTTTCACCTGAAAGCGCCTGGTGTCACTGTTGCGCACGATGGACAGGACCTCACTGATCTTCGGGTAGGAGACGTAGTGGGCCATCGTCTTCATCACCGCCTCGAAATCCATCGAAAGATCCATGGGATCGATGTCTGGGCTGCGAGCACCATAGCTCAATGCGTGCCCCCTGAGAACATAAGATAACTTTGTGGAAAGAAATCTCAGTCGCCCTTGGCCGCAATACTCCTTGGGAATCCTGTTGATCATGTCATTGGGGTCCAACCATACTGATCCCTCTTGGCGTTCCGTCGCTTCTTCCAACTTGCGAAGGGCTGCATCAGCTTCGACACTGAGTCGCGGCGCTTTCTGTCTGGGCTGCGCTTTTGACTCTGGTGCCTTTTGCTTTTCACTCTTCGGCATTTTCTTTTCGGCCGGCTTTCCAACTGGCTTGTCAACCTCCACCTTCTTCTCGGTCTTGGTCAGGTCGACAATGGCAGTCTTGTCAGCAGGCTGTTCGGAAGAAGCAGAAGCCTCAGGAACTGCAGCATCAGTCGGCACACCCTCCCGGGCAGCATCAGCACCTTCCTTCTTCTCAGAGTCAACGTCCATGGCAGTGGCTTCAGATCCACCAACCTCGGTCCAAGTTGAGATCCTGGAAGAAGTCATGTCGCTGGGCTTGGACTCATCACCACCAATCACACTCCAAGTTGAAACCCTCGATGAAGTCATGTCTTCCCCCTCTTGGTCGGCCTTGGCGGGTGCTTCTTTTGCAGCAGCAGGAACATCGGCCGACGTTCCCGAAGGCTTTGCCTCAGTGGATGTGATCTCGATGATCTTGTTGAGATCTGCAACCTCCTTGGCTCTTTCCTCCGAGATTTCATCTTCCTTGACCTTCTCGTCATGGGGATTGACAATGATCTTCTCATCAAGGATCACGTCCCACTCATCAAAC